AAAAGGTCATTAACAAAAAGATTTATCACAAATAGAATAGAATGTTAATAAACAGGGCACCGTCTCCTAACGCATCAGAGCACCTCGCCATAGTTGATCTTTTGTGCTACTACAGACCCTAACCGGACAGGTTAAAAGATCATTTACAAAAAAGATTTCATCACAAATAGAATAGAATATTAATAAACAGGGTACCGTCTCCTAACGAATCGGAACACCTCGACTATAGTTGATATTTTGTGCTGCTACAGACCCTAACCGAACAGAAGACTCTCCGCTCTACGAATGATAGCCAAAATGTCAGCCGTGGAAGACCTCCTAATGTCAGAAGGGAAAGTAGTTCTCGACCCACTGACCTCGTCCTGCCTCAAATCTAGGCTGGATAGTCACAGAGTTTCCTCACAAAACTCTTCTTATTTTATTTAGTTTGAAAAGTTATGCAAATTAAAAAACTGTTGTAGTTTTTGTCGTTCTAAAGTTAGGTTGAGTCATTCAGAGCAGTTTCAACAATGAGAATAAATGTATTGAATCGAATGTGACAGCGAGTTTCTCATGTTGACATCCAGTTGCATACATCATACGTCAAATGACTTGAAACAGATGCTTTAAACATTTGGTAATGCTTTGCTGCACAACGCATATCACAGCATTCTGCACAGAACGTTACTCAATATTAGCAACATAAAATAAAAAGTTAAGCAGGTGGCACAGAAATGACTTCAGTTATGAGTTTTACATAATCCACACTCATTAGAGAAGGGTTTTCATATAGTACCTGACACTTTTAATGAACACAATAATGTTAATGTTTCTTTTAAATTAATTGCATGCTTTTAATATTTTGCTGAGCAGTTTCGTTACAAATATTGTGGTTATGTATTTCTAGCTTTTTTAAGTTTTATTTTGTGAAAATGATTACGAATAATAAAAATTGACACTTTCAAGACTAAAATAATTGAAAATTTTTGTACATTTACTAAAATGCGTTCTATTTTATATACAGTTTAAAAAAGTTTAAAAACTCGAATAACTAATTTCATCATATCAAAAACAGGCGTTTGCATGGTTTAGTGATCTTCTGGTGGAACATGCTGAAATATTTTGGTCTCTTTTTGCTGTGGATATGGATCGCGTTCTGTCTGAGCAACCGCCAGATACTTGGGATTCATTTCCGTTATTTCAAATACTTAATGATTATTTACGAGTTGACGGTTTGTAATACGTTTGAGTATATACTAAAAAAGTTGCTATTATCTTACTTAAATTTAAGATAATCTTCGAAATGGCAGATTTCATCAGCATTTGAGAGACACATTTGCTCCACTTGTTGTACGATACGTGGATTTAATGGAATCGTCTATAGCACAATCAATACATAAAGGATTTGAAAAGGAACGGTGGGAAAGTAAAGGGTAAGAAATGTATGGTTTAAATCCGAATATTTTTTTGTATAAAATATTTAAATTTTTTTTAATTTTTATAAAAAAGACGAATAGGCTTCTGTATCTTTAAAACAAATATAATTTCATAACGGCAATTTGAAAAAGTTATGGTTTATTGTAAAAGAAAAAAACAAAATTAAAATAGATGATTCAAAGGTTAGAAGATTACATATCCTTAACGTTAAGACGTAAAATGAAAGCTCAAAACTTTTAAATAATAAAATCACACAAAAATATTATTTTTTCTCTGATCTTTCAGATCAGATTATACTTAATTCAATATATATAAACACTTGTTTACTTTATTATACTACTTTAGTAAATTATTAACACAAATACTGCAGATCATATTTGTTAAACAAACACGCAGTTGATAAAATGATGTCTGATAGTTTATACTTCTGGAGTGAATTTGGTTGGAAATTGATCCAATATGCGTGCCTTTGGTTAAGTCGCTTTGAATAAGAATTGTTGGTTTTGCGTGGTTGGTCGTTGGAACTTACACAACCTCCGCTGGCGATGCTGTACGATGTTGTACGAAGTCCAAGTAGCACCAGCGATAGGGTTTAAGCACAATGGATGTATGGATGACACTTGATTGCATTTTTCAGTGTACAGTGTATGCGCTATACCATGTCATTCGTTTGGGGATGGTGTGTCGTTATTCTTATATACCTGGAATCAGTGAGACGGTTTAGTTCCGCAAATAGTTTTGACTGTTAATAGTCCGTTGTAATCGCAGTATGTATTCAACCGCAGCTCCAATGCATTCGCTATTGTGTGTAGAACTTCATATACCATTTTATTAAAAGTAAAATCGTTTTGCTATCCCCAGTTTTTCGGGATTGGGCCTTCGCAGCCATGAGAATTACGGATATCTGCTGTTTATAATGCATGGCTGCTTTTTTATGTCTGGCTGCAAATTTAAAAGGATCAGTAACACGTTGTGCTCTCGTAAGAGCGCTTCGAAATTGCAATTGCTGATAGGTGCTACGGTGAAGATTTTATCGAACGTAGCGTTTGTTTCAGTCATATTGAAAGGATTTGTATTTCTCATTCATCTACTTTACGCTGTGATAATAAGGGGGTTTATTCCGCCGCAGTAGAAGATAGCGCAAATTTTCATGATACCGAAAACAGGGAAAACTCTAGAAGATAACAAATCATATCGGCCAATAACTCTACTTCCGATCTTGTCAAAAGTTATAGAAATCCTGTTTCTAAAGCGCCTTACACCGATTACTCAACAAAACAGACTTATCCCTGACCATCAATTCGGCTTTCGCCAAAAAGATAGCACAATAGAACAAATTCATAGACTTGTCAGACATATTCATAGTGCGATAGATGGTAAAAAATATTGCACTGCGGAATTTATAGATATTTCACAAGCTTTTGATCGGGTATGGCATGAGGGCCTTCTTATCAAACTAAAACTGAATCTATCCTTACATTTTTTCATATATATTAAATCATACCTCTCGGCAAGGCACTTTTTCATTACGCATGGAAACGAAACTACAGGACTTCGTGATATAGAAGCAGGAGTACCTGAAGGTAGCATAATGGGACCAATGCTTTATCTTCTATATACTGTGGATCTTCCCCTTACCGATGAGAGTGTTATCGGTACATTCGCAGACGATACAACTATTTTATCAGTTAACAATGACCCAATTCGTGCTTCCACCAAACCACAAACCTGCCTTAACAATGTTACTCTCTGGAAGAAAAATTGTCCAAGTAACATTTAGTACAAAACGTTCTATGTGCCCGTCTGTCTTAATAAACAATACTCATTTACCACAAGCTGTAGAAACAAAACACTTGGGTATCCATCTGGATAGCGAACTAACCTGAAAACCACGCATATTTAATAAGCGTAAAACTTTGGGTCTCAAATTGCGAAACTTATTCGGTTCGTTAGCCGAAATTCCAAACTGTCACTAGACAATAAGCTGCTTATATACAAAACTGTACTAAAACCTATATGGAGTTATGGAGCTCAATTATGGGGTACTGGAGCAGACTCAAACTTGGCAATTATCCAGTGTTTTCAATCAAAAATGATCACAATTGCGCCTTGGTATGTAACGAATGAACAGCTGCATAACAACTACGCGTTCCGACAATTAAGGAAGAAATATCTCGAATTACAGAGAATTACGCTCATCGCATATATATGCGTCCAAACCCGCTGGTTACACACCTGATGTCCCCCTCCAACAGTTTTACAAGGGTAAAAAGAAAAACATCGAGAGACGTTTTAAATATGTATATATAGGTCACACACTGTTATTTTAAATATATATGGATATGTCACTGGACATAGTCCATACGTGCCTTTCTTTTCTAGATCGTAATAACTATTATTATTACGATTCATGTTAATATATATTACTTATTGTCATTCATACCTGACAGATTGTAATAAAATAAATGGAGATAAAAAAAGAAATATTGATAGACAGTCTTGTGATGTTTTCATAAAGTTTTTTTCGACTTATGTTAACCTCTATTATTAACCTGTACCCATTATTGAGGAAATTTGCCTCAATAATGGGTTGGTGTCATGTACCCTGATAAATGTCTCCTTTGCCGCATATAAATTACGCGTTGTCTTCGCATTTCTGTGAGTGGATGGTATAATTGTAAAACTGCGCCGGTATAGATGACGTATCTTATTTTTGTTGATTTATCTGTGACAAACAGGCGACAGCTTATTTGTGTGATTTCTTTCTGCGTCGCCGCAGACGTGGTGCTAAATCACTATTAACAATCGAAATAACATATCGTATGTGTTCTGACAGTCGTTCTAGGCAAATAGATTTTAATGCTTTGTGAGTTGTCTTGTCTCTCGCCAGGTCCTTCATTTTTCCAAGCAAGGAATCAATTTACTCGCATATTAAGGAGCCTTATACTTGTCCAACGCCGTTGGGTTGCATATAATGTCGACTACTTGCATTAAGTATTGTGGCTCCCATGAAGCAATTAGGTAGTTGGTTGCATCTATCGTAACACCAACCACTGAATACTGTGCTTTTATCTGTACAAAATATATGTCGGGCTATGTGCGTTTCATTTGGTATTTGCTTAGTACCTTCAACTTGCGACATTTTTTATTTACACTCCGTTTCACTTGAACAGCACACTTCACACATTTAATTTCTTATCATTATACCTTCTAAACCAATAAAATAAAACTTGAACTTGTTCAATAATTTTTAAATTAAATGATGAAAAACTAAGTAAGTAAATAAATTTCATATAAATTCCGTTTCACTTGAATAGCATGTTTTTTTTTTTAATAAATTAAATAACATTACTTACTAGGGATAGTTTATTTATTTATTATTAAGGATTAATTTGTTATTATTTATCATTTTAGTAATGGGTTGAAGTTCCCTTGTTTGATAAACCTCACAGATTCTATCGGGAAGTGAACCATACAAAATTTTAATACACCTAATCAAGGGAATTGTAGCCAATACTTGCTGAATTGCTTCAATGAGTTTAGTTTTTGTTGAAAATTGATTGCCAGATTATTAACTTTTCTACCCAGCCATTCCCAAACATTTTCTATTATGTTAAGAACTAGCGAGTACGGTGGCTAGTTCAGAACAGCAACAGACTCAATGAACGATTTCACAACACGAGTAGTATGTATTGGGGCGTTGTCTTGTTGGAAAGTCCACGGCAATTGTTCAAAAAGTTGCGTTTAAGAATCGCAGTTCACAAGTGCCATAGTATGATATGGCTCCCTAAACCATAACTCCGCCCACTCGACTGTACAAACGCTTCAACTGATAAGTTTCTTTCCTTAAATCATGAAAATAATAGTTGTAACCGTCGGACCCTTCCAAAATAAACTTTTTCTTATTACAAAAAACAACGCGATTCCACTCTTTGCCCCATTACCATGTTGGCACGACAAAAAGTCAACCGATCTTCTTTACGTATAGGGTTAAGTGGTGGTTTTTTTTTTAATTTTAACACTTTTAGATGTTCAGCATTCGAAATAACGTGCCATACCGTAGTTTTACTTGTATTGACACCAGATTTTAACCTATTTTTGTTAATCAAATCATGCGAATTCGAAGTTTACCGCAAAATAGCCCGCTTACCTACATAGCTGAGGACAATTTTTACTCAGTCTTCTATATTTTTTCCATAATAAAGAACATTTTGAATAAAATTGTATATTACTTTCTGGTTCTTCCGATTTTTTTTGATATTTCAGTCGCAGACAGGTCGGAATCAATAAAGCTTTTTATTTTGACCTATTCTTCGTTGGTTGATGCTTCACCAGGACCCATTATTACTTTAAATCGTCGCGCTGTATATAATATACACAAATAAATTAAAAAAAAATTAATATTGTGGTGATCTGCTACTCATAAAGGAAATTCGAAATCAAAAGCAAATTACAAAGAAATTAACGGAAAATATATACCATAACGGTACATTTCTGTAGCTCTAATTTTTTTTGGAAGACACTACATAAGGAGACAACAACAAAAGCACAACATTATTATAACAAAGTCATGAGATCCTTCATAGATAAGAAAATAATAATGCAAAAACGTAGTGTGCTATTCAAGTGAAACGAAGTGTACTTTAGTGTACTACCTTATTGAATTATTAATATAAATACAGAAAATATTTGTAAATCAAATGACATTTCTCACTTCACTTTCGGAGTGAAGTTGGTTGACAGGTGGTGTTTGATCCAAGGATGGCAGTGCGCACGAAGAATGCGTTTGCCGCAACATAATTGCATAAAATGTATTCGCCAACTTCTATAGATGCGAAGTCAACGCATAATGGCTGACTTTATGCCTGTATGTATAAAAAAAAATAATGTGTTAAGTTTTCACTGTTTTTGAATGACTAATAAAAGAAGAGAAATATATAAAGATTTAAATTTTTTGAGCTCTCATTATTTTCTTGTTACTAATACGGATATGCAAATAATATTTTTTTAATTTTGAGTCAAGATCTGTTAAAAATAATAAACCATAACTTACAAATTTTGCTACAACAAAATAATATCATATATAAAATTCGAAAATCGGTATGTTGACTTTGATGAAATAAACCGTTAAGATTTTTGTTTATTCAATTATTTTCGAAATCATTATTAACTAATCACAACATTCGTGTATTAGAAGTTCCATTATTCAATAAATGTAACTTAATGGATAAATTTTCGCTACAGGATAAATGCAGCTCTGAATCCTGCTGCCCTTAACAATGCAGCGCAAGCACTTAATACTGCAGCACTAAATCCAGTGGCATTACTAGGTGCTAAAAAAGATCAAGTCAATTTTTATATACCAAAACTACCACAACGGGTCGCTAGTGCTACCGATGATACGAGGTTTTTACTCTTTTTAATTTTTTATTCAATTACATGCTCGATTGATTATGTTACTTAATTTAATAAATATTTAGTTAGTTTAATGCGTTTGTAAATGCATTTAGATATTTTATTTCATTTTTATATATATTTATAAGTTAATTGCTTAAACATCACTCGTTTTCATTTAAAAAATGTTTAAACAATATTTAGTAAAAAATTAGCCTTAGGCACCTCTTCAAAAAATAGTTACATATAACATTATGTAAATTTTTCATAGTCGTTGATGGATGTGTGCCGTGACAGACGATTCTTTCACACAGTATTGTCTATTAAATACTAATATTTTCGCAATTTATAACTGTGCTGCTCAATGAGTGACCTCTTAATTTTAAAACTACTGTTTAATTCCGTAAGTTTTAATTTTTTTATCTTTTAGATGTCCATAAATCCATATAGAGAGATTGCTTAAAACTCAGGTTTTATTTCGATAATTAAATATAAACAAATTCATAATAGCAGACAACAATTCCAATTATTCAATTTACATAGTTCAATTTGCATACAAATACTGACAGGAGGCTATAAAGGCAACCTTAGCATATGCATATCTATGTCTGTATCCGAACTATATAATAACACTTATTCAAAGGACTTACTAGGTAGACATTTTAAATGAATCCAAATCTAGTTAATCTCTATGTCTACCTTTCTTCACAGTTTAATTTCTAAGTTAAATTTGCATAATTTAATTATAAAATATCGATTGTCTTTACTTTCATAGTTTTTAATATAGCACACCAATGATAAGAAATTTAAATAAAAATTTTATCAATAATAAATAAATTTTTAATCAAACAAACAGTATAAAGAAATGGGCGTAAACACCTAACCGTTTCAAAATGGACTTACTTATAAAACAATCGAATGGGAAAAATGCCGAAAACTTTTTATACAACCAATATAGCTAAATCAAATAAGCAAAATTCTCCTTAGAGAAATCGAAGTTAATTTCATGTATTATAACCTTAACTACGATATTGATATGAACTAGATTTACAGTATATATTCGTACATACATATGTATATGCACTCATTTATATTTCAGGTACCTAGATTCTAGATACCTACGGAATCGAACAATATAATATATAATTTCTTTTATAAAATACATATTTAAAGTAAAAAATAAATCCATATTATAATATGGATTTATCTATAATGTTATAGATTTTAAGTAGTCTTAACACAAATCTTATATTATAGATATCATATTATAGATATCATGTGTTTATCATCTGTAATAAAGCCTGGTATCGAAATATAGTATACCTATTACCTCAGATATTCAACTTTACTTGAGAGTGGATACATAAAAATGCGCGTAAACGTTTTCATACCATAAAAAACAAACTATACCAATTTCCCTTTTGCTTTTTAAGTTTCTGGATCGAAGTAGAAAAAATGTAAAATTATTTAAATAAATTAAGTGCATTTTAAATGCTTATTTTGTTTTTATATACATAACCTTCATTATTTGATTGTTTGCAATAACTTTTCAATTTTTATGTGAATATATGCGATTTATATTTCATTTGCATTGTTATTGGAGTATTTAAGTAAAAAATAGCAAATCAGTTTAAATTTCATTTGCATATATGCAAAATAACACCTTTTAGAATTTTGGGAACCAAATAGATTGAGGTTACATATTATAATTAAAATTATTCTTGTATAAGCATGTTTCTTTCTCTCATATTATTATAGTTTTTAATTTGTTTTTTTAACAATATTAATTTTTAGAAATGGGTGCGCTACGTCTGAGGATCTGTTTTGGAAACTTGATGCCTTACAATCTTTTATCCGAGACCTGCACTGGCCAGATGTTGAATTTCGGCAACACTTAGAACAACGATTAAAAATGATGGCAGCTGAAATGGTAGAGCAGTGCATACAGCGCACCGATGCGTCTTTTCAGACATGGTTAAAAAAAAACGTTGCCTTTATTTCTACGGACTATATAATTCCTTCAGAAATGTGTGCTATGGTTAATGTGATATTAGATGCTAAAAACCAAAGCTTTAAACTTACTACAATAGATGGCATTGATATGGTGAGTTTTTTAAATAATTTAAAAATAAGTTATAGAAATTTGAAATTCCACTATTTACAATTATAGTATAAGTTTCATGCGAAAATTGACGACCAAATAGATAAAGCGAATGTAGCAATGACACAAGGACTTAGCGGAAAACTTATGTCAGTGTTAGACTCGACTTTATCAAAATTGGCACGATACGATGAAGGCAGTTTGATTGGTTCAATCCTTAGTTTCACAAATGTATCAAGCTCAGGAAAAGACTTAGGACAGGGTTACGTGAATTTCTTCCGAAATAATATGGATCAAATTCGAGGAAAAATTGGAGATGATTTATGGACTTTAAATTTTTTCGAACAATGGTATACGCTTCAGATTAATATGCTTTGTAATTGGTTGTCAGAACGTTTGGATCACTCTTTGCACTATGCACAGGTGATGTCTCTCTCGCACATTACAAAGGTATTACCACAGCAATTTTTTATAATAACAAACTCTAGCATATATTTTATACATATATTTTTTTACTGTTTATAGAAAATATATTCCGACTTCGAATTACAAGGCGTTCTTGAAGACAAATTAAATTCCAAAGCATATCAAACTGTTTCTCAGAGGATGGCTACTGAAGAAGCAACATGTGCACTAACCATGCCAGATGTTGGCGATTGCGAAGAGTAAGTTTAATGATTATGTTAATTTGGCTTTTTTTTACAAAACAAAAGATGAAATCACATATTGTGGTAGACTATATTTTCTTCCACTGCATAAGTAAGTTAGTTTCCTTTCTTCTCGTTGATACGATGGCGGTTTGATAAGTCAGTAACTTTTTGAATTTCCCGTGCAGTTACTCCAAATGCAACAATGCTGCCGTCAGCTGTAATCTACCAGTGGGCAACTTTTTAATTTTGAGGAAGCTACGTCGTTCAGTTGGTGTTTGAATTTTGTGTGCTGAATAAGCATTACTTTTTACGTAAAAATTTCATCACTGAAAGTAAGGAAATACTTGATAAATAGTACGAGGACTCGGCACCATCAATTTCAATGGTTAAGAAGTGGTTTAAAGAGTTCCATTGTGGTCGTACCAGCACTAGTGACACCGAACGTTCAGATCGCCCAAAGGAAGTGATCACGCCGGAAATCGTCGATAAAATCCACGAAATGATATTGGATGATCGGAGAATGAAAGAGTTGACTCATGCTGTAGGTATCTCAACTAAACGGGTACATCATATTTTAAACGAATATTTGAACATGAAAAAACTCTCTGCGAGATGGGTGCCGCGATTGCTCACACCATAAGCGCAATCGTGTGACCACTTTAAAAGAGTGTTTAGCGATGTTCAGCCGTAATCCAAACGAATGTTTGCGCGGTTTTGTTACTGTGGACGAAACATGAATTTATTACAACACGCCAAAGCCCAAGGAACAATGGAAACAGTGGGTTGCTAGGGGCGAACGTGAACCAAAGAAGGCCAAACAGAGTCTGTCAGGCAACAAGGTCATGGCCACAGTTTTTTGGGATGCAAGCAGTTTCATTCACATCGATTACCTCGAGAAAGGTAAAACAATCACCGGCGAATATTATTCAAAGCTTTTAAAGCTTTGTAAAGTGGTTTTAACACATATAAGCAATTTATTAATAACTTCGATGAGATAAATTAATTAAACCGCTTGGTTGTTGACGGTCGTCAATTAAGATATATGAAAGGATAAGTTTTATATGTATATTTTCTAGAAAGGTTACCTATCAAATCCTGCTTTTAATACTACGACTAAAAGCACTCTATATGTCGCTATGTCTGAATTTGGAGTCACTGCAAAACTTATACATCTACGTAAAATGACGATGAACAGCACCACCACCAGCATAAGAAATGAAAAAACTTTTCTGAGATGTTTGATATGGATCAAGATTTCAGACAGAGTGATTCCTTGTCGTGTGATTAATTCAGTCCAATATTAGAAACAATAATCCAAGTAGCAGATTTGAGCCGTACTGGCCCAATACTTTTAAAAATAGTGATGTTGCTTACATGTGCAGATGATATTGATATTAAACACTCACGCCGTCAGTGCGCCTTTGTCCAACTTTAATAACAAGAGAAACAAATGTGTCTCATGGTAAATAAGTAAAAAAAAGTAGCCGTTCAGAGCAATGGAATTATGCGTTGCTGTAAATCGCACTTCTTATCAATATCTTCTTGATTTAAAAGAAGAGCACTGTTGCCTTTCTAAGCACATTCAAAGGTATTTTGTTAGAAACTACGATTTTTGTCAAAACAGATTCAGAACAAGTCAGGCAACTATCCAGGAATGCCACGTGGAGGCTATGTGACAACTCATATTGAGGATGACAAGAATTGCGCTGGCATTTTGCAATTTAAATACGATCAGACACGTTGCCTTGTATACTCATTCCCTGGCACTCACAGGAGATATTAGCTGAGTTTTGGAAAAGCTATTGGAGGCATGATTATTTGCATTATTTGTTCCCTGTTTCTGAAATGGGAACAATTGTTGTCTATTTGTTACTGTGTCAAATATTTCATCTAGGTAGTAAAGGCGATGAGGTAACTTGTTTTGGTCATTTATTAAATTTATAGCATATTCACGGTGCTTCATATAGGAACTCATTTATTTATATTAATGAGTTCAAAAGCTGAACAGTTGTTGACCAATTTTTTTTTACATATACATATACATATATATATAAAACACATGTCATATAAATCAAATTTAGGTAATTTCCATTTTGGATAATTTTTTTTGAAAGTTCGCCTAAAACCATTTCATTTATTTATAATGAGCACATGAAAGCTCGTTGTATGGTAAATTATCCTCATTAACGGTCTTAATAAGCAAAGCTGCCTAAACTGCGAACGTGATATTGATTGTCATTATCATGTTTACTACATATATTTCAGGGAGTGGCTTCGAATTTCAATTTGATGGGTTGTTCAAAAAGTCTCCGTCAGCAAGTTAAGAACAGGGGTTGGAAAAAGTTTTTGAGATAGAATTACACCTTATACGTCATAAGAAGAATTAAGAAATGTACTTACATTGTTGTTTAGTTTCAGTGCAGTCATGCTGTGTGAAAGTAGTTTTTTAAAGTGTTTTAAAAATATTTCCCTTCTTGTTTGTTGCTATTTTCCAAATGACTTCCAGTCTCGAATGTTTAAAAGTGTGACACAAAATATAAGTTACGTATGTTAAATAAACTTTAAAAGGCTGATATTTATTCTGTTTTACAACAACCTTTAAAAGTGTTTAACACTCACGAATTTTGTTTCAAATCGATATGACTTTTATATTTTTATTTTGCCTATTTACTCTTCAGCGTTATTTACACATAATTTTTTTTTGATTTTCTTCTTTGTAGCACTGACGAGGCTAAGGGTGAAACTGGGGAAGAAGAAGACAATGAAGAAAGTGTACCAGTTAATCGTGGCTTACCTAAACCAAAAATTGCAGCCGCCCAAGCTGCGGCTGTTACAAATGTTGTCGCTGGAAGAGTTGGAAATTTATTGGGGAAGGGAATTGGAGGACTTAGCTCAAAATTAGGAGGTGGAGGATGGTTTTAAAGAATAATATATTCAATATCTATTTGAATATGCGTTATGTATTAAGAACACATAATTACGTATATATATTTATACATACATATATATATATATAAAATAATATATGCTAATATAGTATTTTTCTTTTAAATTGGTATTGTTGAGAATACAAATTTATAACAAAACTTATAAGAATTTCTGAAATGCAAACCTTTCTTTAATCAATTTATTTAAATTGTTTGATGGGTGTCCATTTTGGCAAATAATAAAGATTTATTTGTTCTTAAATATGCCAACTTATATAATGAATATAGTATTATATTCATCCTCAAAATTTGTTACGTATGCATCATTTTTAGTTGCTATGGAGCGAATCTAAAAACGCATGATTGTAAGATTTTCCAAATGCTAATGTGTGAAGCTCCACATATATGTATCAAATGCATTTACGTTATTATATACTTACAAATGTATATATATACATACATGCTTATATGAACATAATACATATATAATTCAATATCAATATTAATTGTTGTATATTAAAGATATTAATTTGTAAAATTATAAAAACTCTTATTCAAATATTTATCAATTGTATTGTTAAAAATTTATGAATCTTTTTAAAAATACTTAAATCACTTTAAATAGCCTTCACATTTATCAATCGCGAAGCATGCATTTTTAACCAATCCAAGTTTAATATTTCAATATTTTCTTTAAACAGAATGTTTTCCTATTAATTGGTAAGAAACATAAAAATCGTATGTAACTAGGGAACACTATTTTTAACATTAATCAATATTTTGGGTACTAGCAAAAAGTTTACCCTATAAAATTTCTAGTCATTAAAAGGTAAATCTCACAAATTTTTTGTATACTACTTATATTGCATGTTAAATACTCGTTAAAATGAAATTTTCTTTGCTATTATATTTTTCAAATAGTTTTTTTTTGTTTTTTTTTTTTTGTAAGTAACACGCTGGAGGCTCATTTAATATAAAAACTGGTAAATCAGTGGATGCTTCTCTTAAACAAAAATCATACATAACATGTGCTAATGTATTTAAATCACACATTAAAAATATAACACTTTATCTGAATTGAGTTACTAAATTAAGGTTATATTATAGCACTCTTTCAAGCATTCTATGTTCAACTTAGCTCAACAAAAAAAAAGTAAATTTAAAGTGCTAGCCGGTATAAGAAAAAACATAGTACAGCATATAGGAAAGAAAACACAAGTACAATTTTACAAAGCAGCACCAAAAACAAGAAGAAAATGCTGGCCAACAGCACCAAATGACAAGACGAACAAATGTTCCGTTCTGCTTAATAATTTCAGAAGAAACTTTGTGCAATAACGTTTGTAAGTTTTACATTAATTTTCTTACTGTTTCAATTCAATTTTAACGATTTGACGTGTATTTTTAATCAGTTTTTAATGAACGTACCCATGATAAGTTAACTGTGTAACTGGCTAAGCGAAGAGATCTCAGGTGGACTAAATTTACAATGATTTTTGTCAAGATGAACTCTTCTTTTTGAATAATATAATACAAAATTATAATAGAAATCAAAAGCAAAATTATTGTTAAATACTTTATAATTTTTATTTTGAAAAAATAACGTCACCATGACACAATGATTTTCAAACAACCCCATTTTATTAAAGTTGCTTACAAAGTTAAACTTTCTTCGGCTTGCCAATTGTGAATGCCTGTTTTGCCTTAGCAATTTAAAATTATTTTTAAATAATTTTTGAAATCACCAACTATATGAGTTTTTAGGATCTGTTCAATCATTTTTCAATCCCTTTGGCATTCGCTATCAAAAATATTCGCCAATAACATATTGAACTGATTGCGCACTCCATTTACTCACAAGACCTGTCCCACAGTGGCTACATATCGCTTCCAAAGTAGAAAATGTATATTAAATGGTTAACATTATCGCCATTCACATAGGTCATATATTCTCTAAATGAATGTTATGAAGAGTTGAAGGCCCTAACCCTAATTTACAAGGGTTAAAGACATTGCAGCTTCGTTATTATAAGTATATCAAGTTATACGGAACTTACGGAAAAAATTGAACATATTCTCTAAATGAATGTTATGAAGAGTTGAAGGCCCTAGCCCTAATTTACAAGGGTTAAAGACATTGCAGCTTCGTTATTATAAGTATATCAAGTTATACGGAGCTTATGCCAAAAAATTAACAATAATACAATTGAAGAACCGGTTTTTTTTCTTAGTGGGTGCATGAAAACAGACTTTCGTGTATGATCAATGTCATGACTTTATCGAATTCAGAAGTTCTTAACCGTATATTTATTGAAAAATTTTAATATTTATTGACACCATTTCAACCTCTTCAACCAGTTTTATGAGTCTTCACGTTTCATCGCTTTTTAACCTAATTATTTTTTTGTACTCTTAAAATATTTTACATAAGTTTTATAGTTATTATTGCATTTCTTTTTTTGTTAAATTAGAGCTCTTAACAACTCAAGCTCTTAGAGCGCCTTTATTAATATCCAAATTTGTGACATATTGAGTATTCTATTCTGATAGTTATTTGATAAAATTTTAGATTGTATTAATATCAAATTTATTTCTCTGCTAGCATTTTCTTTTCCAAATTCAGTCCTTAAATTTCTTGAGATATGTTTAACTAGCATAATATATTTACTGATTTTTATACAGTAGTCAATTAGTTCATAGTAGATACTTATTTTTCACAGTGTTATATGAATATATGGACTAATGAATTTAACCTATTCTTTACTTAAAAGATACGATTCTCCATTTTATGTGCTACGTTCTATTTTTTTAGGCCACTTTCATACATACATAAAGTAGGTGAATTTCAGTATCTCATTTTGCCAGCTAAAACTTATTTCATGAAAGACTGAAATATAACTCAAGCGGCGTTCCTGATATTTTTAAAAACTAAAATATAAAATACGTTTTGCATATAAGGTAGTTGTTTTTGTAATTTCATACAATGTGTATAAAATTACACGTTTTATATTTTCGTTTTTAAAAATATTAGGTACGCCGCGTGAGTTAAATTTTGTTTTCAAAAATTTTGTAATTGTTATTCCTGATTTTTATATTTTAAAGGCAAAAATAATAGTTATTTGTATGTTTTAAAAAGCACAAGCAGAATAAGAAGCAGAGTATATTTGTTTGCGGAGAAAAATAAGGCATATGATAATAATTATTACTGAAAAATATAATATAAAGCAAATATAATTATTATTTTTTGCATTTTATTTTAAAATGCGAATGATAAGAGTTATAAGTTGATTTTTATTTTTTGAATGAAAATTCTTACGGTTGCTGGTTTTAAGCCTACGCTCAACTTTTTTAAAGAACTGAAATTTTTCTTTAATGTATACATATACCTAGATATATTTATGAAACGCAACGCTTGCTTTTATTTAAACGATTACTTGTACTTACTTGCTTTATTTTAGTTAATTACCTTACAACTTCGGTAGACATTTAAATCGATATTGTCGAAGTGACCTAAAAATCAACTAGCGGTTTTTATATTTCTTACTGTGTTTCTTTCGTTGAGCAAGATGTACGACGTAGTCGAGAGACCAGAAATTCAATGCCATGGGCAAAATAGTAACATACTAGTACACACTAGTGCTGTTCATATTCGAATTTACGAAGTATTCGAAGAATTCGAATATTCGAATAGTAAACGAAGTCTTCGAAGTTGGAAAAAACTTCGAAGTTTTTATGAATTTTTGTTCTCGAAGTCTTCGAAGTTTAAGTGTAGTGAAAAACTTCGAAAACCGTACAAACAAAGCAAATGCTTTCATCCCTCAAATAATTTGTGTGATGCATGTTTGTTGCATTTTGGGCTTTCACTTTACCTTTTGCTTACGAAGTCTTCGAAGTTTTTCACTACACTTAAACTTCGAAGACTTCGAGAACAAAAATTCACAAAAACTTCGAAGTTTTTTCCAACTTCGAAGACTTCGTTGAAATGCGAATATTCGAATAATCGAAGAACTTCGGTTTTTTAAAAACTTCGAATAATGTGAACAGCACTAGTACACACAGGCTAGAATATCGAGTCTTGTTTGCGAATGCGAATATTAAAGCATATCTAATCATATCTGAATTACGAATAATAGTATGAGTATAGTTGAGAATAACATTTACAGTAATAAAACTTTAAATCTACTAATAAAAATATTTAAAGCAGAAAATTTGAAGATGATGTAAGAGCACAATATGTTTTGAATTATCTAACTAGTCCCATTTCGATCTATCTGAAAATCGTTGATCAACTAAGAAAACAGCCATTACCCGATTTAAAAAGTAAAACTTCTTAGGTTAATGGTGCAATACCAATAAAAACTAATTTTTACAGTACATAATTTAATATTCAAGAAACTTCGATAGAATTACCTTTCTTTGAGTTTTAGTTTCGTTTTTTGCATCATGTTATATCAACATTACATAGTAAAGTTTATTTAGTTATTTTTTCTTTTATCATAAATATATGAATGCTGATTTTAGTTAACAATCTTTAATTTTTTACTTATGAATGTTCTCTCTTATATATTTAATAAAAAATATGTTTTAATTTGCTTTATAGTTACCAAGTAACTATAGTGATCTACTTCCAAAAGCCATTTAAAAAATAATGGTTCCTAAAAGGCATATGGAAATTATACTTTAATTCAATTTTATAATTACTCAGCATGGCACAGAATTTAAACTAGAATTATAGATATTTTCGTACATATTTAGTATTTGAAATATTTAAATTACAACAGAAAAATTATTTGACTTGTTGAAACTATTTTATCTACTATTTTATCTCTTTAAAGTGTGACTTTATAATTTAATATTTATGTTTGCCAATAATTCGAATATCAAATAATATGTCAAAAAAGAATAGCGCCAATAGCAAACAGCAATCACATAAAAATATTAATAAAGAGTTTTATACTTCAACCGCATTAAGATGGAAGTGCATTGTCATTGGACGTCATAACGTTTTTACTCTAAGATGATTAAAATTATGATCACCATTTTTGAAATGGTGTAAACCATATGCGGAATGCTTTCTCATATGCGTCATTAAAGAGTATCAAGCAATGTTAAATACACAACAATGACGCTGCCGTAAAACTCGTGAAAACTCATTCCTTCATAAGGTTTACATGTATTTCAGAAATGGCATCCAGCGTCAAGAAGATATAAAAGAGAAAATCATCCTGTTTAGCGAATATACATATATCATGTAATCGTGCTTGAACATGGTGGTTTTTAAAGAGAGTATGTTCAATGAGAGCTACTTGTACATATATATATACATACACACACAAATTTTTATATGGGTAAAAATGCATACATAAAAAATTGAATATAATAAATTCTAAATTAAATATTTAAACAAAAATTAATAAATATATTATTTGTTAGCTAAAAAAGTAAGTTTTTTCTTTAAATAGAATGCACACAACTATATTTGAAAATTGTAACAAAATAATAGAATATACTGAAATTTACAATAACGACGTCTTAATAAAAACTTAGTTAGATAATGATGTAAAAAATATTTAATGTTTATATTACCATAATAAAATAATGTAGAAAAGTTTAATTAACCTGTATGTGTTAACGTGTATGTTTTCACTTATTCCCATATGTAAGTAAATATCTAGTTCATTTTAAAAGAAAACACTGTCATCGCAGTGTTCCAGTGGAAGAGAAATGCTTAGTTTTAACGCCTAATTTTCACCCAAATCCAGGAGGATTTTGCGCCGTAGATATAGAATACATTAGTTAACCATTGACTTAGAGCCTGCACAGGAAGGCTTCCTTATTCATTGACATCATTCTGAAATAGAAATTAACATATTCATCCAGAGCACGTTGCGGTCACACAATGGCCCTCTGGCATCAAAAACAGCGGAAACAAATTTGAAAACTGGTGAATACTTGAAAGCTTTGGTGAAATTAATGAGAGCTAACTACCATACCATACTGCAGAACTATAGGTTACTATAGATTTCTTTAGGCAAGTGAATTATTAATTCACTATCAACAAATGTGATTTCTATGTCATACACATACGTGAATTCCGCAAGTTTGCTAATTAGTTAAAAGGAAATCCATAACGTGATGAAATACTCCACCCGGGGGTATAACTTTTTTATTCAAACACAATCCTAATCAATATTTAATAAAAAAGTTTATAAAATAAAAAAATAAATAAATAAAATAATAAATATGTAAAAATGAGTTAAAATAAATTAAATTAAATTAGATATATTTTATCTATGCATTAGAAGAGTTGTAGCAAAATAAATAAAACTTGAAGGGTTCAAATAGTAATGAAGATGCAAACAACAAAAATTTTTAATTAATTACTTGAAATTGATTGACCATACAACGCTGTTTCGAGTACTCATCAAGTACTCATCATCAGTGATCTTAGGAAATATTCAAATTTTTCTTTTGATTACTTTATAGTACGTAAATAATTTGTTTAGACCTCCCTATTTAGAAACGAGTTTTTCCACAAGTACTCAAGGCTGTACAAACTTTCAAAGCTCAAGTTTTAATATTTTTTGTCACTTGCCAAATGCCAAAGCACTTGACATGCTTTTTAAATTAGAACGATCTTATACAGCTTTACCATATTTGGAAACACAAGTTCAACGAATTGAAACTTATTTTTGTAGTTGTTTATTTTAATTTCCAATAAAATTTAATTTCAAATCTATTCTTTTGTAGTCATCTGTTATGGATATTTTTATTTACTGTATGTAGAGTACCTTTTTTGGGTGCAATTTTAGAGAGAAGCTACTCAAATGTTATTCTTCACGTTCGTTAAAGCGAGTAGGAAAAGCTGAACAATACTGTTGTTCGTTTTTCCTATAATTCTAAATTCTTGGGGACGTGTCTTAGGTGTTAATTTTTTTGTCGAATGTGAAGCGCATTATGACGAAAAGAAACTAGAAGGGTTCCAACTGTAATGAAGAAACAACAACAAAAATTTTTATTAAATTTATTAAAATAAAACGATCCGTAAGATTTCTTTTCAACTGGTGGTCATATCACTTTTGGCAACATCAATAATAAAAGCTGACATTAAAACTGCATAAGTTAATTAACAATTTTGTGCCTTTGATTTTAGACGCTAGGGTCTCTCATCATGACATACAGTTTCTATTAAATGACTATCCATACTCCTGTTGTTATTTTCACATCACCGATTAGCGTACATCCGTCCGCTATCTCATAATTTTGGGCAATTTGTTTCAAGGGGCACATTTTATTTATGTATTTATATATTTTATTTTATGAATTTATGCTACAACTGAAAAATAAGTTTATGTTTACAGTAGGTATCCAAGTCCATTTATTATTATTGGAATGAAGTTTATAGTAAACGTTATCTCCAATGCTGAACTGCTTTAATTTTGTCTCTTGCTGATTACTCTGTTTTTCTAATTCGCCTTTCGGTTTTTGCTGTTTAATGCAGTCAAGACGAATTTTCATTTTTCTGCCATTTAGGAGCTCAGATGGTGATTTCATACCGAGATTGTAGGATGGTGTGTATCGATAACAAGTGAGGAATTTGTTGAGCTTCCTGTCGATACTTCCCTTTGCCTTTTTAAGTCATGATTTGAGTAGGCCAACGAACCGTTCTGCTTGGCCATTTGATTGTGGACTGTATGGAGCTGTAGATATGTAATTAATTCCTTGGAAGTCGCAAAAATTTTTGAATTTCTGCGAGATGAATTGCGGAGCATTATCACTAACAATCGTGTCACAAAGGCCGTGCTGCGCAAAAGCTTTCTCAATGAACTCAATAGTTTTAGCTGCAGTAGTAGTTGAAGTTTTGAATATTTCTGGCCATTTGCTAAAAGCGTTTATGATAACAAGGATGTAATTGCCATCGATTGGACCAGCGTAGTCAATATGAATTCGTTTCCATGGTGCAGAAATAATTTTCCACTGTTGAGGAGTACATTTCATTGGACTTTTTGAGGCTGTAGCACATGTGTCACAAGTTTTGACCAAATGATCGATATCAAGATTAATGTTTGGCCAAAAAACTTTGGTAGCAGCAAGAAGTTTCATACGACACTCACCTGGATGTCCATTATGGAGATCTTCAAAGACTTGCTGGTGGTAAATTTTGGGAATAACTATTCTCTCACCAAAGAAAATACTCTGTTGTTTTATCGTAAGATGATGTCGATGCTGAAAAAATGCCGCTACTTCATTATCTGTGATTTGTTTTTTCTTTTGAGACCAGCAGTCATTTTGGATGTAGAACGTGACCTTATTGAGAGTATGGCAGGCTTTGGTTGCTGTTTGAATATTAGTGAAAGTGATTGGAAGTTTGGTGGCTGTTTCTACCGCAAAACAATTGATTTTCAGGTCCTCGTCTTCTTCTAATTGAATAGATGCTATGACGGTATCTTCATCAGATTTTACATGGTTGGCGATTAGTCGAGAAATAATATCGGCATATTCAAAGCTGTCAGTATTTATTTATTCAATAGAGAAGTCGTATGACAGAGTAGTGGTTGCATAACGTTGCAGGCGAGCCGCTGTGAACAACGGGATGCCATTTTTCGGGTTGAATAGAGCAAGAAGTGGCTTGTGGTCGATATGAATGATAAAGCGACGACCAGAAATGTAATAGTGACATTTTTTTAATCCAAACACGAGAGTTCGAGCCTCCTTGTGCATTTGAGGATACTTCCGCTCTGCTGCATTGAATGTAGCTGAGTAGTGCATAATTGGGGGAAGCGTTCCGTCATTAAATTGATGCATGAGAACTGCACCCATACCGTATTCTGAAGCATCAGTAGCTAAAATTATTTTCTTTGCTGGATCGAAGTGCGTAAGACATAGATCAGAAGCTAATACATTTTTAATCTTGTTGAATGCTTCATTATGTTGTGGTTTCTACTCGAACTTCTTATCTTTTTTTAAAAGTTCATCTAAAGGACCACGAAGGCTTTTCATACTTTTAATGATAGTAAGTTTGTTGGTGGTGGGAGATCTTGGATTGTTTGAAGTTTCCCTGGATGTGGTCTGATACCATATTGATCTACCGTGTGTCCGCAGAACTCGACAGATGTTTCTCCAAACTTACATTTCTCGAAGCGAAGTTTGAATCCATAATCATGAATACGCTTTAAGGTTTTCAACAGTTGAATTTTGTGGTCTTCTTCATTAATTCCCGAACAGATCATATCATCAATAAACCCAATGGTGTTGGTTCCGCTAAGCATTGTATCCACAATCTGTTGAAAAATGCCAGGGGCTGTTTTAACACCTCGCTGCAGTCTAAGTACTTTAAATAAGCCGAGGTGAGTATTGATAGCCATCAGTTTTTGAGATTCTTGGTCCAATGGAATCTGGAAAAATGCATCTGATAGGTCAATTGTGCTAAAGACTTTCTTATTAGCGAGTTTGGAGAATATTTGGTCAGGCATTAGAAGAGGATATTTATTTGGCTCTAGACCGTCATTTAGACCTGTAGAATAATCGGCATATATACGAATTTTTTTATTCTTCTTTCTTACAACTACGATTGGCGCCGCTGACTGTGAGTATTCAATTGGTGAAATTACTCCAAGATGTTGAAGACGTTCAAGTTCTGCCGAAACTATGGGAGCTGCTGCATATGGAACTGGTCGAGCGTTACGATAAACGGGTCGCGCTCCTTCTTTTAGTCTCAGAGTCGCTTGGGTCTTCGTACAGCAACCAAGGTCATTAGAAAAGAGAGACGGAAATCCAGCCTTTATTTCATCGTTCAATTTATCGTTACTAGTTAGTTGGATTGCTTTGCAAAAGGAACTCATAGGCACTGATCATAAGTCAAATGTCGTTATCCAATCAATTCCAAATAAGTTCAACTTAAGTGGTGTGACATAACACACATCATATTCCTCTCTTCCATTTAGGTTCACAACACAAGCAAAGCTGCCCAGAAGTGGAATTACTTTTCCAGAAGCATCGCCAGCTTTTTTATTAGTAGTTTGTAGGGTTGGCTGACCAAGTTTGGTCCAGTTCGATTTGGAAATAATCGTTATGTCCGACCCGGTATCAAGTTGGAGTTTAATTGTAGATCCATTGAGATTTGGTCTGACATACCTACGGTGCTGCTGCGTTCTGTTAGTTTCATCAATTTTCTTCACACATGATGTGTCAGGCTGAGATTTTCTGCGTCGCAACTTGCTTGGCTTCATATTGCAGTAACCATTTTTGTGGCCAATAGTGTTACATGCTGAACATATTTTGCCTTTAAATGGACAATCTTTAACCCAATGAAGACCTCCACAACACCAACATGGCGTTGGTGGTTTCGAAGATTCGTCTTTTGTTGAAGAATTTTATAGTAATGATTCATTTTTGCGTTGATATCGATGGTGAATTGCAAAAACTTCTGAACTTGAAGATGGGTGGACGACAGTGTATTTGTCTTGCTTCAGACAGATTATACGTTCATCTTCATTAGTGAGGTCTTGAAGTGTTAAGTGCATGAAGGCATCCTTTTGCGCCTATGTCTGAAGTGCACCAAACTGTGTTGATTCATTGTCGAGTCTTGCAAGGAGTTTCTCGAGTATTAACGAATCGTGTGAACTCTTCAAGCCATTGACAAAGATTTGTGCTTTAAACTCATCGGGAGTACAATTAACGATGTCAAATTTTTCACAATGTTTGTTGACGCGAGCTGCATACTGAGCAAAGTCTTCATAATCCTGTTTTGAAATTGTAAGACATTTTTGGCGCTGAGAAAATTTTGATTGGCGATATCCGAATATAGACGAGAGTTTGGCAACCGTTTGCATGAATGTAAGCTCATGGGGTTCCTTTGGTAAGATTGCTCGAAATCCAAATTTTTTAATTTGCTTGTGAGCAATCAAACCTTAGTCAGCTCAGTGAGATGTGCTGCTTCTATAGTGAAAACTGATTTATAACGCTTGTACCATGATTCAAATGTGACATTACTTTCAGGATCATAGCAAAACTCCAGCATTGAGTCAGATAGATTCCTGAATGTTGATGAAACTGCTTCTATAGTTGAAGAAGGCGCATCAATTTGTTGTTGTGTCCGCGACAAACGAAGCTCCTCAAGCAAAGCGTTATTTGATTTTTGCACGGCTTGCAACAACAAATTAAACTGTTCCGCATTCATGTTAGCTTTATCCTCGTCGCCAATGTAGTAACTTCGCTAGTTACACATAAATAAATACACTAATTGTTAATCTTACACCAAACGCTTATCTTGCCGCCCTTTTTCTGCCAGCTGGTCTTCTCTTGTCCCATGTTGTACAACGTACGTTTACTGCCAGTGTTGTACTACGTCCGTTTACTACAGTATTAAAACTTGAAAAAAGTTCACTTTGAACTGTTGGTCAATTGGACATTAGATGATTTAAGAAATATCCAAACGTATTCATTTTTCTATCTGGTTTAAGTACAGCATGATGAGGAATAAAATAACCTATAAACCGATATGAAATTTAAGTTTGGCTTAGTCATATATCGCAATTCTTCATATGAATAGGTCTGTTCATATTAAGCTTCCATCGATAATAGATTATTTCTTGTGATTCTTGTAAAACTGAACAGTTCTGGAGAAATGGTAACCTTACAACGAAACGTCCTTGCTTATTTGTGTGGGTATTCTGCTCGAAGTGAGAATTGAGCTTATACATATGCTGATTAGGAAACCGAATTCTCAAATGTTTTTTTAATACGTGTCATTACATCCTGATTCGTTCCATTGGTGTTTAGAAAATTGCTTTCGTTAATACATGAATGTATTACCTTGATTTCATTATTTTGTATTCTAGTGGTTAGGTTTATGGCTAGATTAGATTAAATTATGCTGGCTGACCAAAAAGGTCACGCGTAGACCATTAAGGTCCATTGCAATACTAGATCAGAGTCTTATTTTAGCCATTGTGTGCATCACTTAGTATGCACATCTTATTAGCCCAAGTATTTTTGTCGAGTTCTCAAGAGAACCGGGCAGTTACACAGCAGATGCTCTAGAGTGTCCTTTGCATCCGGCTCGTTGCATTTCCTATAAACATCGCTGTGAATGATTGTTCATTTAGTTTGTGCGCATGTGATGCGACTAGACAATGACCTGTCAATACACCAATTAATGTTCTACAGTTCTATCGACTGAACGATATTATATCCTTGGAGTATTTTTCCTCGTATATGTGTCTACACATGATTTTAGGTATTCTACAGGTGGTTAAGTTTAGCCACCTTTCATTTACTCTCCTTGTCATGTGCTCGTCCAGAAGTTTATGTATTTGTTTCAGAGGTCTGAGTACTTCGCTTGTTTGTTCCTCTGAAAGTTTTGCGCCATTTTTAGCAATAGCATCAACTGTCTCATTTCCCTCTATGCCTTTATGACCAGGAATCCAGTACATACAAAGTCTGCGGTCGCAGGCTAGTCTAGCTATAGCTTCATTGCATTCTAGAATATTTTTGGGTAATGACCAGTAAGGTTTGATCGCCTTAATAGCTGCTTGGCTATCCACATAGAAATTTATGCAGTAGTTTCTCGTTTCATTCACACATACGAGCTCCGCTGCTTTTTTAACAGCAAACACTCCCGCTACTCCCGCTTCCATCTTTGAATCGTCAGTGAAAACATTAAACATTTATGGTGTTGCATTTTGGTATCATGCCTTTTTTCCATTCTTCGATTTCGATCACAATTCTTATCGTTTCTCCAGGATATATGATCGGGATCATATAATCCGAATCCGACAACTTATGCCCGAAAGATCTTCGGGTAAGTTGTGCAGTAATGCGTAGCCGTTCGGCCATTTTTGCCGCCATATTTTCAGCAAAGATATAAACCGGGGGTGAGTTTAGTATTGCTTCAATGGCTGCCGTCGGAGTTGTCCTTATTGCACTAGTGATGCAAATTGCCGAGTGTTTTTGGACCTTTTTCAGAGGTTATATATACTTTGTGATAACTGTCCACCAAACCAATATACCGTAAAGTAATATAGGTCTGACTAAAGACGTGTATCACCAATACATAAGAGCGGGTAAGAGGCCCCATGTACTCTTAGCATACTTTTACATACGTAGAAAGCAGTTGTTGCCTTCTTTATTCGTTCCTCTACATTTGGTTTTCACTTCAGTTTGCTATCCACAGTCACTTCAAGGTATTTCGTTTGAGATTTCATAGATAAATACTATCGAGTCCAGGAGATTTATATGAGGCGAATGACTTGATTGCCCATTCCAAACTTGCATATGGGTCAATATTTCTTTCTATAAAGCCTGCTGTATTCTGGTTCGATATTGCTCACAATTGCACAGCTAGGAAAGTGAGTGTTAGTAAGATCTACAAGCGATTCGGTGTTGGTTTTAGTCCATTCGCCGTGTTTTTTCCTGACAAAGTTAGGCATAGTTAGGTGTTTGGATAATAGCTTTCTAAGCCTAGCTACCTCCACCGTTTTTTCTACACCTACGAAGATTTTTTTCCAGGAGTTTCTTTCGCGTTACGAATAGCTTTCTTATATTGCTTATGGATATCCCTATACTCCTCCCACACAACTTCACATTTTGCCAACTGAGCCAGCTTGAAGATTTCGCGAATGTAGTGTCTTTGGTAAGCTTAAGTTAGGACTCTGGTAAGTTGATCAAGCCTTACTTCTAGATCTACGCAAAATAATATTCTCGTAAATTTTCCCAATCTCTGTTTCAGAATTTTTCGATAAAGATCCCAATACATTAGTTTGGGATTTCTTAGAACTTTCTCCCTTTTCACGTACTGGAATTTTTTTTGAAAACTAATATATTTTTAATCTGGAAATGATTGTTCGTCAAGAATCTTTCATTTCGTCACCGTTACATTATCTTCATTATCTACATTAGCTTTATATCTAGAACGTTCTAGATTGGTCTAACATAGGTTGGTTCCTTTTCTCTATTTGCAGAACTAAGCCTACTCTGTATTATGTAATTGAAAATAGGCTCACCTCTACCGTTAATGTCGGCACTTCCCCAAAGTGAATGATGAAGTTCTTTGGAGTTCTTCAGATGGCGTTTGTTCCTTGTGTGGCATGTAACAGGACGCAAAGAGTAATCACCATCCACTGCCACCACCGTTAGATCATCTGTAGAGAGAAAGTTTATAATATAACAATTAATTACCCGTTGTGGAATAAACGTTTTGTAGTTTTGTGAATTCAACCCAGAGATTGCCCGAGGCTAGCCATGGTTCCTGAATTAAAGCCACATCGTAGCCGCCCTCTTCTAGACTGTGAAGGAGCTCAGTTGAGGCAATTTTACTGTAATGGAGGTTTATCTGTAGAATCCTTAGCATGAGCTTCCCATTCCTACCCGGGGCTGCTTTCTACACTCATCCCTACCGGTTCCTCCCCTTCGCGAAGATTTAGAGACGAACTTAGGATTTCTTCGAGACTAAGATCCTCTTCGATTTCCTTTGCAGTGAGCGTGTTTTTTCGAGTTCCTATCGGTCGGATGTCGTTTTTGAGGCCAAGGTACACGCTCCCTACTCCCCACAACATCTCCCCGTATCTTAAATACAGAACATTCTCAGACATTTTGTTGATTAATAGGATGTAATTTTTGTCCCTCGCCTTTTTGGCTGGCTTTAGGACCTTTAACACCTTCCAATCACTTGTTGGCACATCAGGGTTCTGTAGTTGTGGGAAAAAATTCTTATATTATTTTCGTAATTCCGTGGAGTTTTGATAATTTGCATATAACTATTATTACAAAGTTATTTGTAATAGCCATTTCTCAACGGAAAATACTTGAAATTTACTCAGTTTTAAAGGCAATTGATTTACAGTTTTGTGTATTCTTCAAGTAATTAAAATAGTTTATATTTAAGTCAGTAATATAGGGGTACAAAAGTTTTTTTTAACAATAAACCAAAAACGTCGTCTCATCGATATTTAACTGATACATTTTTGGAAACAAAAATTCAGTCAAGATGGCTCGATAGCACTCGCAATTCACCGGATCGGCAGCTCTTAGATCCTTCTTCATTTCGAAAGAAATAAGGACCGATGATGCTGACAGCGTGTAAACCGTACCAAACAGTCAATTTTAGTGGATGTATTGGTCATTCTTTATGAGATAAGATAATGGTTATTATATCGCTTCATATGTCATATGGCAATTTTGCTTATTGTCTCTAATCTCATATTGCTCTATGAAGTTCGCGAAGATTTATTTTTTTCAAAGTAAATTTCCACAATTTGGAAGCGTTGTTCTAGCTTTAAACGATTTATGGTGAATTGCATAACCTTGTTGAAGGGAACAAAAAAATTAAGTTAATTGTTTTTATTTTTTTATTATTATTAAAATCAACATCACACTTAGATTAACAAAATAATTTAACATACATAAAACTTTATAAATAAATAATCTCAACAGTCAAGTGCTTAAGTTTCGATATTTTGTACTTATTCTTGAAGATTATTCAAAGCGAATAATTTATGTTTTCCAATATCACTGCTACTGCTTCCACACCATGTCTTATTCAAATAATTATTGCTTTTGTCAACGGTTCGGAGAGGATAACTCCATGTGTTTGAATTTTTTAAATCTGAATTTTTATCAGATATTTCTTCTGGGAACAAAGTAATTTTCCGAGGTTCTTTAATAAGTGCCTGTACTTTATTCCATTTCATATTTTGTTCAATCTGACTACGCTGCAGGGTTCCTTTGCTGTATTCAGTTAAATCTATTAAATAATAAAGCTTATTAGATTGTATGTAATTACAAAGACTTCGGGATATTAAGTGTAAGGTTTTCTATTAAAAATTTTTTGTTTATTTTCTTAATTGTTACCATTGACGTTATTATTTTTATCAATTTTTTATAATTATCAATGTGTATTTATTTTTTATTTCGAAAAGATCTTAACAAATAGTATTATTTGAAAATGCTTCTTAGCACAACAAGCAAATTATTCATCAAACTGAATATATAAAAAATTTGCCAGTTTCTAAACTAACACAAAATTATGAAACACCTTCATATGCCCAAGCACTAAAATCAAATAATAACTCTCAAAACCCTGGAGAAATTTCTTCAACCTTGCAGTTGGTACTTCAACTGCTACAAAACCAGGAAAAATTTAATAAAGATTTAGATGAACGGATAAGTAAACTAGAACAGATCCTTCCCAAACACCGTATGTAATGCAGTCTTCAATAAAAGTTATGCTCTGGAACGCAAATGGGCTGCTACATCAACAAAACGAACTACAGACTATTCTTTACAAAATGTCCATCGATATATGTCTAATAGCAGAAACGCACTTTACGAGGGAATCACATATAAAATTTAGAGGTTATGAAACTTACCACACTACTCACCCGAATAACAATGCACGAGGGGGAAGTGCTATTATAATAAAGGAAACCATGAGTCACTATGAAGAGGAAAATATCAGCTGTAGCGAGTTTCAAGCCACAACTGTTACAATAAAAGTACAAAATCAAAAATGATCAATTATTTCGGTCTACAGTCCTCCAAGACATTCTATTAGTACACAGATCAATATATAAACTTCCTTTCTAAATTTAAAAATAAATTCATTATTGGCGGCGATTTCAACGCTAAACATGTCCATTGGGGTTCGCGATTAACTACAACTAAGGGCCGAGAACTATTAAAAGCCATTCAAGCCACAGGATGTGATGTCTTATCAACTGGAAGCCCAACATATTGGCCAACTGACCCAGCGAAAATACCGGATCTGATTGACTTTTTTATAACTAAAAAAATACCGAAAGAACTCTTACAAATAGAAAATGGATATGATCTCTCTTCTGATCATTCACCTATGCACCTCTCTATTAATAAAAGTGTAGTCATAAATGAACCGAAGCCTTACCTAATAAATAGATCTACTGACTGGGATTACTGTAGGCTGCATCTTGAAAACACTCTTAATCTTAACTCTGATCTAAACTCAGCGACTGAAGTGGATAACGAAGTTCTTCTATTTACACAGCAGATTCAAAAATCAGCATGGATGAGTACTTCACAGTTCTCTAAACACCAGGTTAGACCAACTCTTCCAAAAGAAATAAATAAACTAATATGGGAAAAAAGGAAATTGCGTAAAAAATGGCAACAAACACGATCACCAACTGACAAAACGGAATTAAATAGGAAAACTGCACAACTACGAAAACTTATCAATAATGTTAAAAACGATAAGATACAACAGAATCTTAGAAGCCTTTCCTATGAGAAACGCACAGATTACTCGCTGTGGAAAGCCGTGAAAGCAGTAAAACATCCTATAAAACATAATCCTCCTATTAAAGCAGATGGCACATCATGGGCCAAAAGAGACGAAGAAAAAGCAGATTTATTCGCAAAATTTCTTAAGGCAACATTTACACTAAATGATGATGGAAATAATCTTCCTACGTCTAATTTAAATCCATTAAACCAAGCAATACAACCAACTTCGCTAAGAGAAATAAAAAATGAAATAAGAAATATGAAACTAAAAAAGGCTCCTGCTTGGGATCAGATAACCGCTGAGATCTTAAACCAATTCCCTAATAAAGGAATAATCAAACTATGCAAAATAATTAATGCAGCTCTGCGATTAAGACACTTCCCAATTTATTGGAAAGTGGCGGAAGTACTTATGGTACACAAACAAGGAAAACCTGCTAATGAAGTTTCGTCATATCGTCCAATTTCTTTATTACTCGTTTTATCAAAAATCTTTGAACGAATTCTCCTTAATAGAATACAGATTGTTCTCACAGAAAATCAAATAGTTCCGAGTCATCAGTTTGGGTTCCGAAAAAAGCATTCTACTGTAGTACAAATACACAGAATATGCGACAAAATCGAAGGAGCACTTGAAGAACAAAAAATTTGCACTGCAGTTTTCCTAGACGTATCGAAAGCCTTTGATAAAGTTTGGCAAAAAGGACTTGTGCGTAAGATTGAACAGTGAGACACATATCCGAGACACATATCGAGACAAATATCCGAAATTATGTGGTCCTACTTATCTTGCCAATTCTTCAGAGTAAAATATAAAGGTGCGTACTCAACACTTGAACCAATTGAAGCCGGAGTACCGCAGGGAAGTATACTTGGCCCAATTCTGTAACTAATTTACACAGCCGACCTGCAAGTTTCACCAGAAAGTGTTATTGCCACGTTTGCAGATGATACAGCGATCCTTACCACTGGAAACACAATAAACGAATCAACAGAAGCAATGCAGCATTTCATTGATCAAATTATTAGTTGGACTAAAAAATGGAAAATTGAGCTCAACCAAACGAAATCCGTCCATGTAAACTTCACAAACAAAAAAATTGAATATTTGCCGATAAATATGTGCAGTGCTCAAATACCATACTCAAACACAGCTAAATACCTTGGCATGAACTTAGATGCTAAGTTGAAATAGAAAGAACATATAAAGAAAAAACGAGTTGAGTTAGAATCCAAACACAAAAATTTATATTGGCTTCTTGGGAACAAATCACCCGTCTCTCTAAACAATAAATTAATGATATACAAGCAAGTCTTATGGGGATGTGCACCAAAATCCACTATTCAAATCATTCAAAACTTTCAAAACAAAGTTTTAAGAAACTTAGTCAACGCTCCGTGGTTTATTACGAATACTGACCTCCATCGGGACTTGAAGATCGAATCTGTGGCTGCAGTAATCCAGAAGTTCGCGGTAAAGCACCAAAAACGATTACAACAGCATCCAAACGAGACAGTCAACCATCTGTCTAATACATCTGGCCTGCTGAGAAGACTTAAACGAACAAAGCCTTCAGATCTACTCCCGAATTAGTAGTCTAATAATAATTTAGATTACTACTATTAACACTAAGTCTTTGACATCTTCACAATTCTAATAAGTATACTGAAATGTAACAAAACTGCTTGATAGTTCTTGTATGAACTAGTCGTAGTCAAATGAAACATGTATTTATATTATTGTACATATTGTGTTTCAAATAATAAAAAAAAAAGAAGTTTATTTAGCTAAAACACTACAAAGACAGCAAGACTCTTCACAATGATGGCCAAAGAGAAAACACTCTCCTCAACAAGTCTGAAAAAATATGACACTATGAAATAGGAACGATCCGATTACTTCTCGGTACCCATTTTCCTGGATCCTTTTTGTTCGTAGAGCATCATGAAACTTATGATATCAATCAGGAAGATTACCATATAGCAGAGAAAGGAACCTGTGCTATTGCCAATGAAATGTGTACAACAGCCAGGGTTAAATAGGCGGTGAACACTTTTAAACCATTCAAATCACCTGGCACAGATCGTTGACTTTTGGCGCTAATTTAACGAAGATAACTAGAGCTAGCATTGTGTTTGCGTTCACGTAAAGATGGTTTTCGTACTAATATCAGGTAAGAAGGATCTACTTCACTCAAAATCCTTCAGACCCATTTGCCCCACATCCTTCATGCTAAAAACAATAGAAAAAGTTGCAGATAATTTCATCAGCTTACTCCATTACTAAATGGAGTAAAACTAAAGTTGTAACATTTACAAGAAAATACAAACTCAAACATCTTAAACCAATCAGGCTCCATGAAATTGAGATAGAAATAAATAAAACAGTTAAGTTCTTGGCCATACATCTTGACTAAAAATTCAATTGGAAACATCACATTAAGAAGGTTACAAAGAAAACCACTTAGGCTCTAATGAGCCTAAGTAGATCCCTAACAGTGAAACTTTGGGGTTGTACACCAAAAATATTGCGCTGGGTCTAGTCGGCGATAAACAGACCTCTCATTTTATATGGGGCACTTATCTAGTAAAATGAAACCAGACAACTGATTAACATATACGTACTATACAAGCTACAAAGACTGGTGTGAATATATATAAAGGGTGCCATGAGGGCACACCCAACGGCATCCATGGAAGTCCTTCTATATGTGAGGTCCCAAGTCAAAAGCGCGGTTCTAAAACTGATGAAACGAAACCTGACGGACAACTGACTTAATCGCAAGAGGTTCAAATATCTTCTAAATAGTGTCCGGAGTTTTGAATGCCATGGGTCACGATAAATGCAAAATTCTGGGAAAGCATCAAACAAACCTATCAGCTAATGGAACGCACAATCGCATGGTTCACTCACGGTTTGCTTACAGAGCAAGGTGTCTGAGCGGGCATAGTCGTACCAGGCAAGAAGCATTGAGAACCGTTGGGAGAAAGTGCTAGTGTCTTTCAAGTTAAAATTTACGCAATATTTAAATGTGTGCTTTTGAATATTGACAGGAAATACTAAGAAAAAAATATCGGAATACTAACAGACAAAAAAACGGTTATCAAAGCACTTAACTCGCGTCAAGTGACTTCAATACTGGCACAAGAATGCCTTGAAAAGCTAAATAAGCTCGGCTAATCAAATCAGGTGTCCGATTCCCTGGGTACTGAGACATACTGGCGTACGCAGAAACCAATACGTAGATTTGTATACTAGCCAGGAAAGAAGCACCTACACTAATAGGGGGGCCGGAACCCTTCTATGGATTTGAACAATACCCTCTTTTCTGTCACAAAAATAAAGGAGAACTAGAACAAAAATGTTTACTGGAATGATCTGCCGGAGTTAACACAATCCAAATCACTTATTAATACCTACTGCAATAGGAGATACTAGGATTGTATGGTTTTATCAGAAGAGAAGCTTGGTATCACCACAGAATGTTATGTCATAAAATGTGTATTCGACAGGTTTAAAGTTAAGTAAAAACAACAAGTCTCTTGTTAACATGTTGGCATCACTATTGCAATCTGTCAAATACCATATTTGTTTTTCACAATTAGGAAAACTAACGTTAAATTTATGACAAACTGAATTTTGTATAAATTTAAATTTTATTATTATTTTTTATATTTTGTCTACGTAATGCGATCCGTTTTGCAAGTAGGTCGTGTTTATAGTTCGGTCTGTAGTATTCGAGATAAGATCTGAGAAAAGGTTTTGCTTTAAATGGTGAATTTCTGAAAAACTTGTAACAAGTCAAAGTACTCGCTGGAAGTATCAAAAAATCGCTGTGGCAATATTTTCATTGTATAATCGTTTAATTGTGAAATTTATATTAATAACTATTTGTTATCGTGCGAAATTTGATATATATTTTCATATATTGAGTTTTCAAATTATATAAATGCCTGATGATTGCATCCCACTAAAACGTGGAGACCAGCAACAATTAAGTCAAGAACAGCAATCACAGCAACTGTAGCAGCAACAACAAAATTAGCATCAATAGTAGCCTAAAAATCAAAAACAAACCACACAAGAACATCAATATTAAAGTGCAAACGCCTTTAAGAAATTATTATTATCAAAATAAAAACATAACGTTTATTTATTGCGTCAATAATTAAGCGCGACTTGAGTCCACATACAAGCAGCGACAATCATGAAAAATTCGAAAAATGGACAATAATGGCTACTGTAACAGATTTGATGCTTTGAGAGATAAAAGCGAATACGCAGAAATATCTGACGAAAAACTGTTAAACCACCGTAAACATAAGAGAAAAAAAGTACCTTGGTAAATACATTTACAAATGTAATAGGTAAGAAAAATGTCTACCTATTAGCAAAGGCATGATAAATGAAACCAAAATATAGGTTTCAAATGAGATCAGAATCGAAAAATTATAGCTAAATTAGAGACACAATCAAAACAATTCTACATCTATAAATTGGAAAGTAGCAAGGGACTAACAGCTGTACTCAAGGGCTTCGAAGCAAAAGTAAATACTATAGAAACTAAGAGGCGTAGTAGGAATATATTTTTGAAGAATAAAATATATTTAACATAATAAATAGAAACCGTGAAGTACAACTATTGTATCAAATTAAGTAATATCCTGAAATCAAGTTAAGTGCGGCTAATCTGTCCTATTTAATCACTTCAATTTTTCGTAAATAGAAAAATTTTCAATCAAAGAACCCCACAATAAATAATTTTCCAATATAACACTTGCGCTATTCCAATATAATAATACTATTGATCAATGTATTTAATTAGGTTGGGTTATTTTTGGTGCACAATCGAGACCTAAGTACATACCACTGCAAGGTCAAATCACATAATTGCTGTCATTTTCGAATTGTATAAAGAAATGTGTGGTAAGAAGAAATACAAACGATTCCATTAATAAACAAGGGGATGCTTTGTAAGGACTTTTCTGGATGTACAACTGTGCGCAATGGCACAGGTCGATAAGTGGTCAGACTCCCAGTAAATCAGAATGCTGATCTGTGAAGATTTTGGTTAAGTGAACAAAATATGCTAGCATTACTGAACAGTTATTTACGAAGTTTGAATTGAGATTTAGAAATGTACAATATAAACCATATCACGATTTCATGGGTAAATATTAGACGTGCCCATTCCGAAACAATTCATTTAACACCACAGCAAATAAGAAAAGGATCCAGCATCACTACGTCAATCAAACAATAACGTCAAATAGTTGAGCGGTTCCGAGAACGGGTTTACCTTACTTTGAAGTTTACTTTTTTAATTCAGCTACCAGGAATTCTGAATAGGTACACTTGATTTAATTAACTATTTATGGTTTCAATTTCACAACTGAGGTACTAACAATGAAGAATTATTCTGATAAAAATTATGAAATTATATACATATCGATATAACTTTTTCGTCAGCATTTATTTGTAAAAACCACTAAAATTTATTTATATCAAACCTTTCCAGCAGTCAGCAGTTTTTCTGTTACTTATTACAGCTGATTTTCTCTGACGGTGTGATCGAAAGTAATTTCTTAATATATTCTCATTATCGATATAACTAGTCTAAATAAATAAAAAAAATTTTTTGATTATTATTCTTAATTAAAAAACAAATATCCGTTTTATTTACGTTTGTAGTTTCATCTGTATCCTGTACACTTTTGCTTTGATTATTCCGATTTTCATCAATTATTTCTTCATGCTGAGATGATGAGCTAAGAATTACTGATTTACGCGAAACATTTGCAGCAGAATTCGCCGCATATGGAAGTTTGAAACTACACATAGATGATTCTGGAAGTTTCCATATTTTTAGATCGTCATTCCAAAATGAGTTTCGAATAATTTCATCAGCGTCCCTATATAAATTGGAAGCTTAGTAAAGATTAGCAAGTAATGTGTGATTTTATAAAATATGTATGTTCAAATAATTATCATTTTATTTAATATTTTATTGACATAGAAACCAATATCAAATATTTTAATAATTTTTTGAATTCATATACATATATGCATATACATATATCCGTTACGATCGTTCATGCATTTACTTTTGTATTAGAACTTGCCACATATTTTGTATTATTTTTATTTTCTGTGCAAGTTATATGTAAATAAATAAGAAGAAACCAGCAATGAAATAAATACATAAGTATAAAATATAATTTCTGTATATTGATGATTTTATTAATTGTAGCTTAATAATTAAGCTATTTATGCGGTATATGAGCATTATAGAAGGTAATGTGTCTAATTGCACTTATTTTGGTGAATTCGAGCATTATCCCTGTCACAGTTTTCTCCAAATTGACACACAACCTTCACCTAATATAGCTTTCTCTTGATATGTACAATCCGTACGTATTAAATTAATGTATGCCGCGAAACCTTCTTTGTAGCTTTGTATCCACCGAGTTATGCATCGAACCTAGAACCCTTCATATAAAACACCAGCCTAATGAACATGATAAGAAAACCTTAGATAAGGACACCACAGGAGAAATGGAGGCTCTCTATGTACAGTTTAAAAAAAAATATGAATGCGGACAACATCATTGCATTAAAATTGATATCTTCAACGCAAAAGTGGGTAAAGAAGTTATCTTTGGTCCGATGGTCAGAAAATGCAGCCTTCATACAAAACTTTTTGATAATGGATGAAGGATCATTGTTCTCGCTGCGACTGGAAATAAAGTAGTTGGTAATACCAAATTTCAGCAATGCGACATTCATTAGACAATATGGCTGTTACCCTAACATATCTCACGTTCTACATATACCTACAGCTGCAAAACAGTTGATTGGGTATCATCGAATACGAAGAAACAACCCCGCAGTCAGTCGTGATGTCAGTACTATCTTATCCAGAAAAAAAGAGATGAAATTTTCAATAGCTCTTTGGACACCTCATTGAATTCACTCAAAAAAGATGTATTTAATTCAATGAGTACCTCGTATAATAGCTTTTATGAACATGATATGTTATACTTTTTTACATGTTTATAGATGTGTCTTTCTTACATAAAATTGACAATTGAACTATCAAGTAGCAATAAAAGGAATAGGCAAAAAGAAGTAATGAAAAAGTAAGAAAAATTAAATAAAAATTGGAAGAATTTATTATGTCGTCATGTTATGAGGTATAGTCCTCATTTCGATTCAGTCATGATAACCATGGAATCAGAAAACGACTGTTGCATAAATCTGCTGCATTTTATAATAGTAAAAACAGAATTAAAAAAATATACATTTTAGAACATTAAAACTAACCAGTATTTTCCATCTTTTCTAAGAATGGGTATCGCCTTATCCATCAATTGCTGATAAAATTTCAAGTTTCTATCTAGTCTTCTGATTGATTCTAAGTAATCAGCTCGGTCTAACTGAAATTCAGCTTGCAAATCAGATATTTCTCGTTCAAGTGTTTTAATTTTCTGCCTGTACAATCTAAGATACTCATTTTTTTCAGTGATCTCCTGTTGAATGTTTGTGTAGTGTCCTTGCAACAAATCGCGGTCTTCGGTTTGCTCGACGCGACTGAGAGCATGAGCTAGTGCACTTAATCTTCTCTGGGCATCGATTTTTTTTCTTTGTCTTCGTTCCTTTAATTGAATGTCATCTGCACATTCTCCTCCTATTAATTTTTGCTTTATAGCTTCTATACGCTGTTTAGCTTCTAACTGAATTATGTCCGTTGACGCGACATTATCGTTTAAGGGAATCTCATTTAAATATACGTCCTCTTGCCCTAACTTATTTGATGTGAGGTTTTTTATTTTTTCTTCATAATGATTGCGCAAATGCTCAATGTCATGAACATGTTTTTCTTGGCTTGTTTGTTCCAGTTGCGATGATTCAAATTTCATTTCCATTTCTTTTTCCTGTTTTAGTGTTGAGTCATTTTCAGCAGGAATGTGTTGCAATGAGAGTTTTATATTAGTGTCATTTAAAAGTTTTTTTAATTTAATTATTTCATCTTGATATTCTCGTAGTTTTGCGTCTTTAGGGTCCTCATTAATTTTGGGCTTGTTAGAAATATTTTTTGCACGAGCTGCATAACGAAGTGTTGAAATTGTTTCGATATAGTTATAATCTGCTGGTGAAATACATGCAATCATAAGAGTTTTTGTATTACCGCCTAAAGAATCCTGTGTAATAAAAAAATCATTAGGATAATTAAAAAAATTTTTTTGCATACAAGTATTTAAATATAATTTAGGATTTTTTTAAAATAATATTAATTTTTCCACCACTATGCAGTAGTTTAATTAAATCTGTTAAAATCAAGTTTAGAAAAACTCAAAATAGATAATATAATAAAATATTATTAACTTTGAGTTTATAAAAAAACCATTTTACATTTTAGAAATTTCTTAAATAATTAACCACAATTAACCACAATTTCATGGATCATAAGGATTCAAGACTAGGAAAGATAGGTCTATACCCTCTTTCATTAAAGAAATCGGACTTGGAGAAACACTGTCATCCGACTAAGGGGCACAATAGATCTGTTAGGTCGCAGTGCACGATTCCTTCTTTTAATAATAATAATAACCACAATAGTTAATATTCGATTTAAATAGTAGATCATAGATGTGTAGCTAGTAATAACCAATTTTCCTGAAATTCTAACTAAAATATACTTTAATCTCAGAAATACTAATTTTGTAATAAAAAAATGCCAATAATATAAATACCTTTTAAAATCTACGAGAACACCAATATATATATATTAAATGATGTGTTTTTAATTACACTAGCTTATGTTACAAATAATTAAAAATTTTATTTTCCAAAAACTATAAATTTTACAAAATATTCGACTTACTTAGCTTATCTTCAGCTTAAAATCAACTTGAACGTTTGATTCATTTTGATGCATTCATTTGAGATCGATCAAGTAGAGGAAGTATTACACTATCGCTGATACTTAAAATGAATGGTCGAATTGTACTTTAATATACAAGAGTATTGTATTTCCACTATGGATCATGTGAAAGCTAAGTACAACCGTTCGAGTCTTTTACCGAAATAGATGATCACTTGGCAGCTCATGAAAAAGCTTAGGACCTACGGTAAGCCGCTTATATACGGCAAGATGTTATATAGTATTGAGAGGGTAAAAATCGTATTTAAGAAAAAATTTATTTAAAACTAAGTTTGTAAGTAAAAAGGACAAAACCCCACCTAAAGAGTTAGATCGGAAATTCCTCTACATGTACTTCCTTTATTGGTCCAAAGTCCTTCTGTAGGATGACAAATCGCTTCACAAATAACTTAGTATGTAAATGGAAGAAACGAAGTCTACTTGAATACTAAAGATCCCAAATAGGCATGCGGCACTCAAGATGATTTGTTGATGCTGAACACATCAAAGTTGACGCTATCTTTAACCCTAGAAGAAACGATAACTCTACACTTAACTACTTACAAGATACAATAGACTGAATTATCATATGCAAAATATAGGTGTGGTAGAAAGTGATTCCTATCGACTCTGTCATGAGGAGAAGGAAACATTAGAACATGTTTTTTGCAACTGCCCAGCGCCGGCAAGACGTAGACTTGACTCAGTTGGAAGTGGAATCTTGGTCCCACATCAAATAGGTAAACTTAAGTCCACAGCAATTACGAGATATGAAATAGTCGAGAATTGTTTTAATAAGGCATTTGGATGCACAATAGATATTTTAGGTTGCGCCGCATTCATAGCCTATTATTTAATAATAATAAATCACTTATTAAAACATTAAAAAAAAATCCAAAAACGCTATTTTATGGTATGCCTATGTAAAAACTTAGAAGTGGAAATTCCTTACACCATTCTATTTTGATTTGGTACAAATTTATGATACCATGATGTAAAAATTGTGACATGGAATGCCTACGTAAAAACTTAGAAGTGGTAACGCATTAGATTCCACCATTCCATTTCCATTTGGTATAAATTAATGATACATGGATATAAAAATTATGACAACATTTAAATACTAAGGAAATACAAATGGTTTTCTCATCGCTTTCAATCTAGTTATCTACATTTACGAAGCAGAACGTCTTCAGTGTTATTATGACAGTATCATTCATTTATGTTAATTAATCGCATAGAGTGCATTATGTCAAGCGTTCGACATAGTTTCTTATCTATATAATTGAATCATATGTCAAGGATTATATCTTACAATAGTCCTAAACTGGTTTATCATTTGTGTATCTGACATAGACAGCTGTCCGAAGACTCTTTGTTGAGGTACAGCTCCATTTACCCCTAAAGAAATGAAAAATATTTTAAGTTTTTTACTAAAGTAAAGTGTTTTTCTTCTTTCTTTAAGATATAGTCATATATTATAATGATAATAATGATATAAGCTGATATAAAATATTGTATTCCAAATTCTATCAAAGCCTTACGCTAATTTTAGAAAAACTGCTGAACATATTCTTCTTTTTTTGAAATAAAAAGACTTATTTCGGAATAAATCTGTATATATATATATATATATGAAGTCTTTATATATATATACTTCAGAATGTGGCCGTAACTATGCTACTCGATCGTAGCACAAGTCATGAGATATTATATATATAACGAAAACCATACGATTATAAATACGGTTATCTATATATATAAAAGAAAGATGTGTTATTGTTACACCACTTATAACTCAAGAACGGCTGAACCGATTTAGCTGAAAATTGGCAGGGAGGTAGTTTAAGGCCAGGAGAAGGATATAGGCTGAACCGATTTAGCTGAAAATTGGCAGGGAGGTAGTTTAAGGCCAGGAGAAGGACATAGGATACCTGTTTATCCCGTTCACGACAAAGTAGGTTTTGAAATTATCAAATTTTTGATATAAGAAAATATTTTATTAAAATTTAACAGATAGAAATATAACTTAGTTAATGTGTTTTTAAAAGTTGTATTAGATCAATATAAGTTTGTGTTGCAATAAATATCGTTTTTAATCAATAAAACTACCTGGTTGTTGCAAACTCAACAAAATAAATAATTAACAATTATAATGTATGGTATGGTTGAAAATTTGAGTTTTTAGTTTTTTAATAATGCCACGACCAAGACGATCGAATCTTTCCCGACAAAGCCGTAATGCAAGAAGAATACGAAATACTGCAAATTTAAGGACTGAAGGTCGAGCGAACAACAGAGGTCAACAAATAGATAATTTGCGATGTGTACTAAAATACACAAATAAATTATGAATGATTAATGTAGGTATTTTTTTTTTTTTGTATTTTTTCCAATTAAATAAAAACTGCTTATTTATTGCCTTTAAGGCGGAACAGAGTTCGCCGGGTCATCTACTAGTTATACATATATATATATATATATATATATATGTAGGCAGGAACGGGAAGATCTGGCAACCCCGGCAAAAAGGAACGAGAAGAAGCTTAAAGAAACAAGCAGTTGTTGGTATTAAGTCGTCGTGGTAGTCAGTCGTTTGCGCGCTTTGATATATGGATATAACTAAACAATAACTATTAAATAAACATTCCTATATATATATATAACTTAACAATAACTATTAAATAAATATTCCTACATTTGGGGGCTCGTCCAATGTTCAATAATTAAAGTGAATATAAAACAGAAAAAAAAGCAAGTGCGAGAGCAAAAAATTGTTGCTTGGGTGTAGAAAAACGAAGTTGAAACAGTTGAAAAGTGCTACACAAACAACAATTGAAAGTAGTAAAGTTGCAGAAAAAGGCTAAAAATTGGGATGGAAGACGTAAATGTAGAAGACAGTGGAAAAATTTTGACAAGAGCAGCGAAGAAAGAATTTGAAAAACAACAGCAAGAAAAAATAACGCGCATCGAGAAGGAAAGCAACAGTGAAGCGGAGGAACGAATAGAAATCGAAACAAAAACTTCAGAAGGCGTAAGCAACATCAATAAGAAAAACGTAAAAAAGTAAAAAAGGAGCATTGCTACAATTGCGGCTCTTTTTAAATATAACAAATCAGGCCACATCGCAAAAAATTGCTTAGAAACCAATCTAGGAGCTAAAAGAGTAAATTGTACTTTAGAGATGGAAAAATTAAAATTGGTTAGAATTAACAAAGAAAAATTTAAGTGTTTAATTGATAGTGGTGCCGACATAACTGGTAAAACACAGTTTATTTAATAGCAATTTTGTGCAAAAGCAAGTGGAAAATTACACTGAAGAAATTATTGGTTTCGGTGGTGCAAAAACAAAACCAGAAGGCAAAATCTTATGCGAAATCGAATTAGATAAAATAAAATTAGAACACCATTTGATAATAGTACCTGACTATGCGGTTAATTACGACTTCATTATAGGATATGACATTTTAAGTAAATGTAGATATACTTCGGATGAGAACGGCTACAGCTTCACTTCGCTGATTTCGAAAATTGAACACGAAGAAAAAGAAATTATGAATATTACCATAAGCAAAGATGAAGTGAAGCATGAAAAAGAAATCGAAGAGTTGAAAAATAATTATAAACCAATGAAATGGAGTAAAAGTCCAATCGAAATGAAAATTATTCTAGCAAAGGAAGAACCGATATACGCATCCCCAAGCAGAAAAGCATCAGAAGAGGCAAAAATAATCACAACACAGGTTGAAGAATGGCTAAAAGGGGGAATTATTCGAAAATCAACGTCACAGTATTGCAGTCGAGTCGTACTAGCAGCTAAAAAAGATGGAACAAAAAGAGTATGTGTCGACTACAGACGTCTTAATAAGTTGGCATTTAAAGACCAATACCCAACACCAAATATGGAAGATGTGGTGGACAAGCTAGATGGTGCGGTGATATTTAGCACCTTGGATATTGAAAGTGCATTCTTGCACGTACCAATTGAAGAAAGTAGTAGAAAATATACAGCGTTTATAACGCAAGATGGTTTATTTGAGTTCAATTTCGCACCTTTTGGATTTTGCAACTCACCGGCAAATTTTATACGGTACATAAATTGCATTTTAAAACAGCTGATTAAAGATGGCATTCTAGCAGTCTACATGGATAACATAATCATTTTCTCAAAAACCAAGGAAGAAAACTTGAGAAAGTTGGCTTTATTTTTCGAAGTTGCTGCAGAATACGGTTTACGCATTAATTGGAAGGAACGAGAAGAGGCTTAAAGAAACAAGCAGTTGTTGGTATTAAGTCGTCGTGGTAGTCAGTCGTTTGCGCGCTTTGATATATATAACTAAACAATAACTATTAAATAAACATTCCTATATATATATAACTTAACAATAACTATTAAATAAATATTCCTACATATATATATATATATATATAATATATCATATATATATATATATATGACTCATTGGATGAAATCAGGGCGTTATTCGCACTGAATACGGTAAGTATTCAAATACGGTTATTAAATTTTCCTCGTTATCAAACTGATCGTTGTTGTGAATTTGGTTTCGAAATAATTCCTTTTCTTTCTAAAACTTTTCCAATTCGTAATTTATATTTGTTGAATAGTTCAGGACTTCACTGGATTACTCGCTTTTTGAAAAATTTTAATTCAAAAAAAGAAAAATCAGAACTTATATTTAACCTCTTCCAAGTAGAAAATAAAAAACTTTCGTCACATACATTGGCAGTGTGTGGAAGTCAAAAATGACTCTAAAACTGAATTTACTAAAAAAAGGTAATTATCAAAATAGCATTTAATTCTTCTAATATAGTATAGAATTGACTACATTAGTCAAGAGAATATAGTAGATTATTTTTATGAGCATTCATCAACTTGGTAGGCTGGGACTGATTTATTTGATTATTTGAATGGGAAAGTAATCGCATGGCATGTCTTGTATTGTATTTACGTAATACTTTCATAATATCATCCAACATAATGTCGATTACCAACATCTCTAGCAATGTTGGTAATCGATCGAAACATATCATTCTATGTTGACCATAGTTCAATATTGAATTATCAACTTAATACAACCAAACGAATTATCAAATAAGTTAAAGTTTGTATAATTTCAAAACTTAACCTTTTAAGTTAAAATTCGATAAAGTCATTTCAATATCAGGCCTGCATAATCACGGAAATTTTTTTTAAAACTAGAATAAATCCCTGTTTTGTAATTTAAATTGCTTCATTCTCAGTTTCTTTAAGTGGTAAACAGAATGTTGACCAAAATAGCTGCTATATAAAGCTATAATATAACTGTAGCTATATAACAAATATGGACATATGGGATCCCATTATGATGCTCAATTGCTAAGTCAAATGCAGATATTACACAACATTTTTTATTAAAAGATCCCTTCATTAGGACCTCAACAACGAGTAGTGTTGGACTCGCAGACGTGTTATTGCAGTCTTATGATACGAAAACATGGCAATGTGTAGCATGTTACAGGCGTTAATATCACAGTTACGAGATGGAAGCTTTGGCTGTGGTGGAGACTATGGAATGATTCCGAACGTATTTGTTACGAAAGAAATTTCGGTTGATGATAGATTGCTCAGTTATCGCCAAAGTTTGCACGTTGGTGGTTAAAACTACAAGAGTTCGACTTCAAAGAAGTACATCGATCGTTTAGCCGTTGTTAAGGCAGGCGTTGTTATGAAAATGATGACCGATGTCAACGATGAGTTGCACACGATATAGATTTAGCAAGAAATCTTACGCGAAATAATATCAGTCTTAAGGGGCGACGTTAAATCTCGCAACCAAATCGTGCTAAGGAAAGAGTATCGTTCACAAAAACATCTGTTATATCGACGATAAACAAATGGCATAAATTCGTCGTTAAGAAATACGTACACTGGCGTAATTTTCATCTATGTCATGACCGCATGGGTCACTTCGTATTGGAAAAGCGAGTGAATATCTTCAGCAGAAACTACGCACAAATATATATTGCTTCATGTATCGAATGATGTTATCAAAAGGCAATCACTTGAAAAACATAACGACGTTTATATTGTATCTCATCAAATCCAATACCTTTCCATTTAGTTCACATCAATCATTTGGATCCTTTAATCGAAGCAAGAAAGAAAACTGTTATGTGTTGGCCAGAGACACGAAAAAGTCGCATGTAATCTAGGCTCAGAACAATTTGACTAATTACTTTGGGTCACTATCGCAAATTGTAACGGATAGGGTACTGTTTTTACCTTCAAAGCCTCTGAGGTACATTGTGATGAATCCGACACATCAAAACAGCCATGCGTACACTACTTACGCACGTGTAGCGATGATACTAAAACTTAAAACGATGCTACGAAATTTACAATAGTTCTCGCAAAAGAATGCAACTTCTGGGTTCAGCCCGAACGAACTTATATTCGTTTTTGATCTTAGAAACATCGTCCACAATCAACTTATAACCGCTATCATCGATGAGACAAATGATGGCGAAAAACAAGTAACGATTGCTGAAAAACGAAAACTTGAACCGAAATATCGTGGGCCTTATCACATTTTAAAAGACATATTAGGAATGCAGATAACATGACGAAAATTCTGCTCAGTGTTCGCATCTGACAAAATTAAACCATGGTGTTCTCTCCCAAACTGGATGACTCGCAAATCAAGGTCCATTTACCCTCAGGATTGGCCGAGTTGGCCGAGCTGGCATCACTGCGGCATAGAAACAAGAAAAAATACAAGAGTGAATAAAAAATGACAAAAGCACTAGCGATTAAAGAAGAAGACTGTGTATTTTTGTCTATAATATGATGAAGTAAAAAAAAAAATTAATACGTTTTAAAAAAAATTTAAGAGTGTTTTTAATAAATTTGTGTTGAAATAAAACCAAAACACCTCCAGTCAAACGGCTGGGGTGATAAATATATAAGAAAATATATTTTATAATATTAATTTTATATATGTTTAAAAATTTTACTGTCACACTAAATACTAAATATTGGCATATTACAAGTTAAGAAAATAAGTTAATTGAAAATATGTACACATATTCAAAATTAGTTCTTACTTGTAAAAGTCTGGTAAGTTTCGAGTCTCTATACGGGACATGTTTTGTTTTTCCGTCAACTAAAGCTGAAATAACATTTCCAAGAGCAGATAGTGATAAATTTATTTTTGTTGCTTCCTTTAGTCGTTCTCCAACTGCTCCAGTTTTATATTGTCTTTCTGAACCAGCCAAATCAACTAAATTTAGTTTACCTCTACGTATACGGCTTGATGAAACATCCTCAAGTACAGTATCAATAATATCGTCATCATATTTATTTTGAATTTGTTCTAGGCTTATTGTAAATATTGAATGGGATCGTGAGCTGGACGAATTCATAAGAGTAATAGCCTGTTTTCGGTTTCTATTTCCATTAGCTAGTAACGTTTCGCATTCTTTTGAATTATGTACCATATGAGTACTTAGTGTCGGAACAGTTACTCCAATACCAGGTAATTCTTTTAAAGCATGAGCTGTGTTAAATCCCTCAGGAGAACTTAGGAGATCACGAATGGTTTCATTATATATTTCCAAATAACTCACAAGTGCTAAATAATGTACTCCGCTTGCTACCGATATCGCTTCAAATATGTGATCGAACGATTTACTTATAACACCACGTTGACTATTTGGAACTTCTGGAATTTCAGTTATATCGGGCCCATGCATTGTATGGGTTTTACCACAACCAGTCTGGCCATATGCAAATATTGTGCCATTGTATCCATCTAAAACGTTATCTATCAAAGAATAGCACACATCATTGTAAAGAGATTCAGTTGGGGCGAGTTCATCATAAACATTGTCATATGTGAATGCTTTGGCTGGTGCGCTAGAGTCAGATGGATTTGATACATACAGCGTACAGTTTTCTACTCTAGCTATATTCTGTAACATAATATTAATTATACATTAAAACGAATATTTAGGTAATTGGATTAAACGAGTTAATATAAGTAATCTTTAGAATTATTTAATATATTCAAATTAGTAATCAAAATGAATCAAAAATTTTTGATACACATACCAAACAAAAATTCAAAAAATAAATTATGAATTAATATATATATATGTAATTATTCAATTAATTAATATTTCATTCATGTAAATGAAATAGTTGTATGATGTGTTGCGCACGAATCTTTCAAGCGCAAAAGGGATTTTTAAACTTGAAGATCTCGTTTGAAAACTACACTTTAGGTGTGCGGAACAGTGATGCACAATTAATTCCTTCATTCATTCATTCTTCTTTTGACCAGCAGCGCGCACACATCATAAAGTACTAGCGTAATTTTTAAAAGTAATAAAACTAAATCTAAATTGATATTAAAAGTTATGCTTTACTTCGCTTGATGAATTATTTCCATATTGGTGACCCCAGACAAACATGAAGTTGCTCAAACATTGATAGCGGTGCTGAATAAACCTCATAATCCTGATTTCCAAGCGCAGTTCAGAAACTCCAACATCACAACTAATCAATCAATGTACGATCATGTGGTTTGTAGCCTTGACAGCGCTACATTAAAAAACATAGCAAACATTGTCCGAATTCCTCCATTATCTGGAAAATATGAAGCAATAAAAAAACCCTGATCCAGAATTATGCCGATTCAAAATGCCGAAAGCTGCGACGCTTGGTGCAAGAATGTCAATTAGGCGACTTAAAACCTTCTTAGCTACTCAGAATAATGCGCAATTTGGCTAGCGGGGAAATAAAAGACGAAGCTAGAAAACAATTGGCATTCAATCGGTTACCTGATGCTGTTCGGGATGTAGTATCAATCGCAGATGTCGACCTAGTTCACTGCTAAAAGAATTCAAAAAAATGATGATTTCAATATTCAACCACAAAATTAGAGGTAATCAAACCGCTGTCCAGCATCATACTGCTACAACAGGTCAGCCGGTTTATTCATGTCAAAGATGACTTAATCCATAGAAGCTCCAAACAGCAAAACGCGAATTTGAATACATGCTAAAACAGGGCATATGTATACTGTCGCAGAGTGAGTGTACCAGCCCATTAAATATGGTCGAAAAAAAGAATGGGATTTGGCGACCATGTGGTGACTATCGACGTCTTAATGCGCAGACAATACCCGATCGGCACCCAAAACCCAACGTGCAAGATTTCGCGCAGACATTAAGCGGTAAGTGTATCTTTACAACACTGGACTTAGGCATATTATAATATACCGATTGCGACTGCGGATAGAAAAAAAACAGCCATCACTACTTTATTTGGCTTATTCGAATTCAATGTCATGACCTTTGGAATCTGTAATGCTGCTCAAACCTACCAACGTCACATGAACCAATTATTTAGAGGACTCAACCTTGTGATTTGTTACATTGATGACATCTGTATCTCTTCAGTAAATGAAGAAATGAGAACATTACCAACACATACGCATAGTATTCGAGCGACTTCAGCAGTACGGACTTAAGCTGAACGTTTCAAAATACGTCTTTGGCTAACAAGAAGTAACGTTTCTCGGTCATACCATCAACCAACAAGGCATATGTTCACCAAAGGAGAGAGTAGAAGCAATACATAACTTCCCAAAATGAAACACGATTCAGGTGTTAACACAATTTCTAGCTACGATTAATTTCTATCGAAGTTTAATACTTGGTGCAGCTACAATTCGAAATACAATGCAGTAACTTATAAAAACCAATAAAAAGAATGACAAAACTCGATGGACAGAAGATGCAGAATCAGCTTTTGTCACATACAAAAAAGCACAAGCAAGTGAATAGTAGGTGCAGCATTGCGCCACATACCAAATAGACAGATCGAAGCTCTCGGTTTTTAATCAAAGCATCTAACCGAGACACAAAAAACGATACAGCACATATGACAGAGAATTGCTTGCCATTTACCATAAAACACTTTGTACACATGATCGAAGGTAGAAAATGAAAAGTTTTGACAAACCACAAGCCTATCATTTTTGAGTTCTTACAGAAACCCGAAAAGACGTCACCAAGGCAGTTAAGGTACCTGGATTTCATAAGACAGTTTACGACAGACATACAACACATCGATGAAATAAATAGTTACGAACAGATCGATTTCAACAAGTTAGCTAAGAGCCAGAAAGACCCTGCTGAATTATTAAACCTGTTAACTAAAAATGAGACATCGTTGGAACTCAAGTGGATCTGTATGCCAAACTCAACGAATTCAATTGCATTCGATCTGTCAACTGAACGAGCGTGTCCCTTTGTTCCTCAAGGACATCGACATCAAATTTTCCGGGCGATACACTATCTGGAGCATCCAGAAAGTAAACCATCGATGAAACAAATATGTGAGCGTTTCGTTCGACCAGGCATGAAAAAAGACATAACGACAATGGTAAAATCTTGTCTTCAATGCCAATGCACCAAGGTGTCCAAATATAATTAAACAATATAACTAAACAATACTTCGTAGTTTCAAGTTACCAGAGCAGCGATTTTTCTCATTGCATATCGATATCATAGGATCATTGCCGATGTGAAATGGATTCATCTACTGTTTAACGGGCATTGATCGCCATATTAGATGGCCAGTTACTGTCCCTATGTTGGATATTAATGCAAGGACAGTGACGGCATCATTAGTGTGTGGCGACAGTACAACAAAGATGTCAACCCAGAAAATAACCAATTGTCATTATTGCTGACCGTGTACATATCGACATCATTGTGATGCCAATGGATAAAGGGTATCGCTATTGTTTAACAATGATTGATCGTTTTTCAAGGTGGCCTAAAGCTATACCTTTAAAAGACATTACGGCAAATACCATAGTATCTGTTTTTTGGTCAAACTGGGTGGCGAGATTTGGATGCCCGCAAACCATAACAACGGACCGGGGCCTACAATTTGAATCAGCTTATTTCAAAGCCATGACCAAAATGATAGGAGCAAAACACGTCCACACCACGTCATACCACCCACAGGCAAACGGTATGATTGAACGCTGGCACCGTTCTTTAAAAGCAGCACTTATGTGTCACGAAGTAGAATCCTGGACAGAATTACTACCAACAGTCCTGCTAGGCCTACGAACGAGTTTCAAAAAAGATCTGCAAACTTCAACTGCTGAGATGCTGTATGGTTCCCCGATTCGACTACCGAACGAGTTTGTTGAGGACGACCAACAATGCACCAGCCCGCAGATTTTCATAGAGGAGTTTTGCAAACACATGCGATTAGTGCGACCGATTCCCGCAACACATCACCGGAACAATGTTTCATTTGTGTTGAAAAACCTCTACAACTGTTCACACGTCCTGCTTAGGACTGATTCTGTTTGTCGCCCGTTGGAGCCACTGTACACTGGACCATTTAAGGTACTCAGTAGACCAACGGACCGAACTTTCGTAATTGACATCCAGGGAAAAGAGACCACAGTTTCAGCAGAAAGGCTCAAACCTGCTTTCATTACTAAAGAAGTAGATGTGAAGGAGGCAACGAAGAACCCACACACGCACGTAAAGAGAAACCAGGTGAGGTTTTCACAATAGACAATACTGGAAGGGGGGTACTGTGGCGACAGTACAACAAAGATGTCAACCCAGAAAATAACCAATTGTCATTATTGAAGGAAAAAGACACCTGGCAATGCTGAAAAGATAAAAGCACATAAACTGGTCACCTTAACAACAAATGAAAGAATGAGAGGCAATTGATAACAACAGTTAGTTGATGGTTAATTTTCCTAGAGTAAACTTGTATTATTTTGTAGTTTGAAGAAGGTAGTTTTGTATAATAGTGGATGTTAAATAAAGTAGTCAAAAGAAACGACTAAAAGTGGAAGGCTGGTGTGTCTTCTGAAATAACAATCGACCAAGGCCGACAATTCGAGTCAAAATTATTCAATGAACACACGAGGCTAATTGATAAAAACACCTTAGAACTAGTTGATGTCATCAGCAAGCAAATGGAATTGTCAACCGTTTTCACCGCACACTTAAAACAGCTTTAGAGTGCAGATCCAAGCAAATGTGGACTGACTACCAGTGGTACTTCGCGCTCAGAGCAACGTATACAAAACTATCAAGGTAACTCTTGCAGAAATAATTTATGAAACGACACTTAGACTACCGGGTAAGTTTTTCGAAAGTTTTAGTAAAGACAATATGTACACACAATCACTGCGAAAAGTAATGAAGCAAACCAATTCGTATCTAAAACATTTGTACAACAGGATTTTAAAAAATGTACTCATGTTTATCTAAGCGATGACACTGTTCGACCACTTCTCAAAGCACTTTATGAAAGACCATTTAAGGTAACTGATCGCGATGATAAGCTGATGATCATTAGTAGTAATAAAACTAAATCTTAGTTGATATTAAAAGTTGTGTTTTACTTCGCGTAGAGCATTATCTCCATAACTGATTTCCTAATTTGTGATGACAATGTACCAACAATGAAATTAATAAACAAAGCATCAAAAATCGTTGTGAGGAACGGACGTGACGCCATCAACAACAGAATAACCATGCATTTGTCACGGTACAAGGATAGAATACTGTTATACGATGATCGAATAAAACGATATAATGAATTGCGATAAGTGTTATTTTTTAAAAAATTTCATTTTAAATTATTCAACTTTTTGAATTTACATATTTTGTTTTTATTTTTATTGAATTTGTTTGACTTTGTGCGCTTTTTTGTTTTGCAAAATAATTGCACACATATAAAATCAGCTGATAGAGACAGCAATTGAAATTATTAAACAGAAACATTATAAAGTGAATAAGTGTTACAAAACGATCAAATAATTAGATCAATTGTTATACAAAAACCTAAACAATCGTGTAATCTTGTACACTGATTTAGCAATTTAGCAGAATATTTTAATTTAATTAGCAAATTTTAA